CTAGTTTTTTGTTTGTTTGTTTTTGTGGGGTTTTTTGTTTTTGTTTTTTTGGGGACTGGGTTTCTCTGTCACTCTGTAGACCAGGATGGCCTCGAACTCACAGAGACCCACCTGTTTAAAGGCCTGTGCCACCACCGCCCAGCATGGCCACGTTTAATAAACCCCCTTTCTCTGTACTTCAGTATTATCTCTTTAATTGGCGTATTGAGGAAAGTGAGCGCAGGCTGTTGGGGCTTCCAGGGTCCAGGTATTTACTCTACACCTTACTGCTGCGGTCCAAAGATCACACAGTAAGATCCCAGTGAACATTCGCCAGGCTAACTCTCCCGGATCACCGTCAACGCATTTCACGGGAGAGATACCCCATTTGCAAAGCCTTGGGATTACCTGCCTTTTGGTAGTCACTGTCATTCCTGTGAAGTCCTTGTGAATCCGTAGCGCTTCCCCTTTGCTACAGTGGGATTCGTTCCCCCAAATCACAGCAGTGTATCCATCAATTATTGGACACAACTCCCTCTTGTACTGCTAAGTTGGAAAACCTTGGGGCCCTGGTGTGGAAGTATTTACACAGTCAAGGAAATCTTTCGTCCTCACAGTCAAATCTACATAACTTAGAAGGTAGCTCCCCGAAATTATCTCTTATGGCAGGACACTGGCAAGAGGAGGGGGCTTGCAAATAGAGCGCATTCAGAGCTCCAAAAGACAGGAGACACCGACGTCTGTCTGCCCCCACTGACAAGCAGGACTGGGCGGCCGCAGCCAACTCAGCAGAGTGCAGCTGGCTAGCCAGCGGCTCAGCTGGAACCGCATCTCACCTTGCGGTTTTCCTTTTGATCTAGGGTTGAAATAATTCAGTAGCCAGCTGGCGAAAATGCTAATACGGATTAAGGGTCCATTTTTCTTCCACAGCGTGTGCTGGTTGCCATAGCCACCGAGACGCTGTTTTCAGCTACAGTGGAAGCAATAGCAAAACCCAAGGCATCTAGTGTATCTTCCTTTTCTTACATTTATTAATTATAAACTTCTAGTATTTCCTCCTTGTTTTACATTTATCAGTTATAAACTTCTAGGTTTACTAACCACACGTACGTAACTTTATGCATTAACACTGCTCCCTTCTTAGCGATGGGCCCCTCACTCCATGTAACCTTTCCCCCACCTCTTGAGTTTTGCAGGGATGCTTATCGAGTCTGAGATGTGAATCGACACTTGCCTTATTCCAAGATTTTATCCGCCTTCCTGATTTTGGGGGATATGCATGCCCATATCCTTCCTATTGTCAGGATTGTTAATTTTATCTATATTGGGTACAACAACTAGAAGCCTCCGTTTTTGAAGAATAAAGAGCTTTGAGAGGAAAGCATATGTGAGCCGGTTTATTTCCCTCTAACCCTCAGACTCCTTTTAGGAAAACCCTACCGGCCTGCTCTCTAGCCCCTAGCCTGGACCCTGAGAGAGCATTGAGGCTGGAATTTGAATGCTCTCACTACCTTACATAACTGACTGCTTAGTTATACCTGTTAATCTTAAAGATGGGAGGAGAAAGACCATTGGCCCAAATCATTATGGCCAAACTAATTAAAGCAAGCCTTTTTATTCATGTAAACAACCTGTCTCCCCCTAAGGCCCAGTTCAAGAGGTCAGCTTTGGATGTAATTGAGACAAGGCTTTTCTAGCTCAAGAACGGGGATTTTCGAAATGGGAAATTTGGCAGATAAAATGAGTGCAGGGTGGGGTTACAGGACAAGAACATAAGCATAACAAGTTAGTCCCTCCTGAAACAAAGCCATGACAGCAGGCAGTCAATACACGGTAGTCATAGGTGGTCGTATGAACTTTTGAAACAAGGGCAGTTTTGCAAGACGGTTATAAACAACTTTTTAAACAAAGATGCGATTGCCATTTGTAGTTAAGCTTATAGGCGAGGCATAGCCCAATCCTTGAGAAACAGGCTTACTCATAAACAGGAGGAGACCTAGTTTTTCTTTTCTATAAGACGGCTTTTAAGCCTGAGATGGAGGGAGGCTGGTTCTTCATACTCTTCTACATATATTCGACTTTTCTCTGAAAGTAATTTACTAACTTTTTGTTTGTTTGCTTGTTTTTGCTTTTTGAGACAGGGTTTCTCTGTGTAGCTGTTCTGGAACTCACTCTGTAGACAGGCTGGCCTGGAACTCACAGAGATCTTCCTGCCTCTGCCTCCCAAGAAATGGGATTAAAGGTGTGTGCCACCACTACCCAACTACTAACTCTTATCTCTGGTCAGAATTGTCATTGATATCTCAAACAAGGTGGCTCACGACTGCCTGTAAGTCCAATTCCAGGGGGTCTGTTCCCTTTCTTGTCTCTGTTGGCACTGCATGCATAGAGTGTATGTACACACACCCAGACTCTCGAGCGCGCACACACACACACACACACACACACACACACACACAAACTGTTTTAGGAAGTGCTATATTGCTGTGAAGATACAGCATGGCTAATCATATCATCTGAGGTTGTGTTGTTGTTTTGTTTTTTCCCCATTAAGTGAAATGTTAGCTGTAGCTCTTTCATAAATGGAAAACTTTCAGTCACATTGTCACCAGTGTGCATCCACGTTTAACTGATCCCAGTTGCATACTCACCTATCCATACAAGATTAAAATCAAACACCAAACATGGTCACAAGAGTTACTTCATGCACGGCCATGGCCACGCGGCCACGCACTCATAGCCAAAGACTTTCATACGAAGATTACAGGATTCGAACACCCACATCTCAGCACACAGGCCCCTCGTGGTTCACAAAACATCGCTACACTTGCTCAGGCTTCTGGCATCTTCGAGACTACATTTCCCAGAAAGGACTGCATCGTTAGCTCGCTCTCGAGCGCCACCAGCGGCGTTTCTGCGCTTGCGCCATCTTCAGGCTTTAGGGCAGTGAATGCACTGCTATTAAGTAGGTAATCAGGATTGTAGGCAGAAGGCAGCCAGACCAAGGAGAAAACCAGGGGAGGATCCGAAGCTGTCCTTCGGTGAGTATGGGAGCGGGCGCTGAGGACCAAGAGTCTCAGCCTTCAGACTAATCGCGATGCCTGGTCCCACCGGTTTTCATAGGCTTCTCGGTCCTGGACTACATTTCCCGTCGTTCCCAGCGGCTAGTGCTCAGTTAGTGTCCGCTTCTTATGCTCAATTTCTCAGGCAACCTGGTAGACCTAATGCAGCTTAGGAATGGTCCTCCACTTTATGAAATTAGATAAATGCTAATTTGCATTTAGCAGTATGTTTGCCTTTGTTTATTCTTAGACGAAGTATTGTTTTATTATTATTATTTTTTGTTATCATTAAAGCAGGTCTGGAGTTGATTGAAGTACATTTACAGTAAAGTAATTTTTTAATGTTTAAGATTTATTTATTATGTACAGTGTACTGTCTGCATGTATGCCTGCTTGCCAGAAGAGGGCACTAGATCTCATTACAGATGGCTGTGAGCTGGGGATTGAACTCAGGAAAAGCAGCCAGTGCTCTTAACCTCCGAGCGATCTCTCCAGCCCCAGTTAAAAAAAAAAAAAAAGGATTTATTTGAATGTGTGTGGATGTTTTTGCTTGCTTGCATGCAGTGCCCAAGAGTGAGTATAGCCTTTTTAAGGGAGGTCTTGTTTTATGTTATTATATATATTGCAGATATTGCAGGACCCCCAAAACATTTAGAATCATAGAACCATTAGTTTAGAAGCAACATTTAGGACCATCTAAATTATCTTGTTTTAAGTTTGCAGCCCTGTACAATAGGATGTTGTAACAGTAATAAAATGGTGCTCATAAAAGTGCTTGTAATAAGGGTGCACTTCCCATTACATCGTGCTAAGTAACTTTCAAAATTATTCCTTTATGCAAGGTAGTATTTGTTTAATGAACTCAGGAAGTGGTTAGACGACAACACTACAAAACCTTGAATTTTGTGTGTGTGTGTGTGGTGGGGTGGGGTGGGGGTGTATTTTGTGCCATGAATACCCGAGTGGAGGTCAAAGGGCAAATCATAGGAGTGGGTTCTCTCCTTCCACCATGTGGGTTATGGGAATCAAATTAAGATTGTCATGCTTTATAGCAAATGTCTTTAATGCCTTTGTCCACTGAACCATTGCATTACCCACCTAGGATTTTTTTCTTCTAGTGCTTCGTTTTGGTTTGAACCCATGTACCATTAGTGGTTTGATTGCTTTTTGCTAAATGTGCATGTAATTGTAAAATTATCTAGATCTAGTTGTGAATAACTTTTATTGATAACTGATTAACTGATGGTGTGTTTGGCTTTTTTTTTTTTTTTTTTTTAAACAAGATAGGGTTTCTCTGTGTAGCCCTGGCTATCCTGGAACTAGCTTTGTACCAGGCTGGCTTCAAACTCAGAGATAATCCTCCTCTTTCTTCTGAGAGCTGGGATTAAAGGTGTGCACCATCACTTGGCAATACTTGATGCTTTTAATTCTTTTAATTAAAAAAAATTTTTTTTAAAGAGGGAAAGTCTCTATGTAGCCCTGACTGGCCTGGAACTCACAGAGATTCACCTGTCTCTGCTTCCTGAGTGCTGGGATTAAAGATGTGTGTCATTATGCTCAGCCCTCAATATCATTTTATTTTTAAAGATTTACTTTTCAAAAAGTGTGTGTGTGTGTGTGTGTGTGTGTGTGTGTGTGTGCAGTTACTTGAGGAGTCCAGAAAGGGGTATGGGATCTCCTGGAGCTGGTGTTATAGGCAGTTGTGAATTGCCTGATGAGGGTGCTGGGAACTGAACCCAAGTTCTCTGCAAGAGCAGCAAGTACTCTTAACCACTGAGCCATCAAACTCAAATTTGATTATTGGTGTCAAATTCTATTATTATACCACAGTGATTCCATGCTTACCTACTTGTGAACGTAACCTATTCATGTTCTAATTTTGTGTGTTTTTCTTCAACAGATATGGTTGTGCATGCAGCCTCACACACTGCTATATCTCTGGAAGGGTTCATTTATATACTGATGATGGAGTACTGAGCCTCTCCATCTAATTGTCTGATTAGCCTCTGCAGTTTCTCCCTATTTCTTGACTTGAGGTAGGCCAAGTTTGGGTTGTGGAGTTCTTTGTGAATTTGAAAGTTGGAGAAACAGCCAGGTCGACTTAAATGGTTTTATTTGATGAATGGGAGATTAAATGGTTGAGTCTTTTGAATGCTTCATTTTGGGTCTAGGGCTGTGTACATTACTCCCTGGGTGAGGAGAGCTTTCCCTGTCCTTTGAATACTATATGAGTCTCCATCACTGTAACAGGTCTGAGGACCCCTGAGTTTTGCACCACCTGCTGTATTTGAGGGAAGTGGGGGAGAAAGGGCCGCTCACGCTGTACCTCTTTGACAGCAGCTGAAGTAGGCTGCCTGGTGTTGGGTGACAGTTTACTCTAGCAGTTAGAAACAGGTGTGGACATAACCCTGGCATTCAGGGAGCTTCAAGGCAAGCCAAGGCCTCCATGTTTGCTCTTTCCTCCCTCAGCTCTGACATGTAAGGACTCTGTCCTTCCCCAAGACAGAAATCTGGAGGAAGAACCATCTGCCTTGAACTGGAAGTCATGCCTCTTGTGAGTTTCAAAAGCTTGTAAATATGTGCTAACATGGAACTTCCCACCCAGATCCCTGCAGTTAATCTGGTCCCCCGATGTCTGCTTTAGGGAGTAAAAGAGATGGATGGTAGGATGATAGGCTAGGCCCTGTTTTGCTTTATTGAGACAGGGTTTCTTTGTGTAGCCCTGGATGTCCTGGAACTTGCTTTGTAGACCAGCCTGGCCTTGAACTCACAGAGATCCACCTCCCTCCACCTCCCTAGTGCTGGGACTAAATACATGTGCCACCACTGCAAGGCCCAAGCTATGCCCTTTCTTGTTGATCTGTCTTCTCTGACAAATGCCATTTTGTAGTAATGGTGATCCATTGTGTAGTGAAATTTTCTGAGCAGATCTCCATTTCCCTCCATGAGATAGGAGCATCCTTGTGGGCACTAAGCTTTGAAAGAAGAAAGTGATCACACAGGAAAGTGGGGAGGTAGTTTTAGTCACCATTTCAGCCTGTGGTTTATTGTCCTGCCTTGGAAGAAATTGACATTTGGATGTAATGGAAGCCTAGCTGGGAATCCAGAGATTATATACCAGAGTATGATCTGATTTGAGGTTACACCAAGCATTTGGGTCTTTCTTCATTAGCTTCTTCACCTTAAGCACAAGAAAATACAGAGCTGAGGATCATGGGAATAGCAAGTGAGAGTCAACCTGATGGGTTGTGGGTGGGTTCTTGGAGCTTGGAAGTGCTTTCAAGGTCAGATCTGTGCTCTGGTTCCAAAAGATGAAGATGTTTTAGTCATTTTTTAAAAAGATTATTTATCATGTATGTAGCGTTCCATCTGCATGTCTGCCTGCAGGCCAGAAGAGGGCACCAGATCTCATTACAGATGGTCGTGAGCCACCATGTGGTTGCTGGGAATTGAACTCAAGACCTCTGGGGCTCTTAAACTTTGAGCCATCTCTCCAGCCACCTTAGTCATTCTTTTCACTTAAGAAACTGTACAGTCAATAAAAGTATTCTTCATTCCTCATTTGTCTCCTGAAGAAAATACTTGCGCTGTGTTCTGACATAATGGCGAACTGAGTTTAGCAACAAACTGTTGGCTTTAGTGAAGCTCCTCCCTCTACGATATACAACATTTTCTTTTCAGACAGGACTTGCTGTATAGCACTAGCTGGCCTGGAACTCAGTATGTAGATCAGGCTGGCCTCAGACTCACAGTGACCCACCTGCTTCAGCTTCTTGAGTGGTGGTACCATGGTGGCTGTAAAATGTTTTGTACAATATTTTCTTAAAATAATTTTGGGAAAAGATCATCAAGTATCTTTGTCATAAGAAGTAGATACTTCTAACCTGGATTGAGAATTTATGAAAACTCCATTTAACCTTTTAATTTTCATCCCCGACGTATACACAGAAGTGTTGGTCTGCAGCAAAAAGGCGTATGTGAAAATACTGTAACTCGGTGCCTTCCTTGTGCTTATTTTCTTTTGGCAGCCAGCTCAGCTGTTTCCTTCAGTAGAACATCCCCTTTCCACAGAGACCTCCTCCATCTCCTCTCATCCTGCCGGGAAACACCCCCTTGAATGAAATCTTCACGCATTGTTCACATATCTTGTTTCAGGACTCAGATCTGTTCGGGGATGTGGCCATACTTTTCTCCAGAGAGGAATGGGAGTACCTGGAGCCTGTTCAGAGGGATCTGTACAGAGATGTGATGCTGGAGAACTACAGTCATCTGGTTTCGCTGGGTAAAGTGGTCTGGTCTGTTAGTTTGGATCTCCCTGGGAATGCCCCTTCCTCGGCAGTTACTTGGCAGTTACCTTTCAGTTCCATGACTGGTCAATTTTGAGCGTACAAAAGGCAGCCATTTGCTTGAATTCATGCCTTCCACTACTCTTAGGTCACTATTGCATTTTCTTTTGGCCCTTTCTGTAGTTGTCCCCCCACTCAGTGACAGCTCTGGATCTGACTTGCAAGGCCTCTCAGTGTGACCACACGGGGTGTTTCTCCTTCTCTTCTCCAGGTCTTACCATATCCAAACCTGATGTGATATCCATCCTAGAGCAAGGGAAGGAGCCCTGGATAGAGGAAGGGGGCACAACAGGAGGCCTGTTTTCAGGTGAGTGACAGACCTTGTCAGGAACTAGAAACTCAGTATTGTTGCCATTTTTGCTGCTTGACCAGTTAGGCAGGACTAGAAATCACCAGTACAGCGCTCTTCAGATAGTTTTATACAATACAAAATTAGGGATGGCCTTTCTTAGAAGAGAGGAAAAGTACCTCTGGAGTAAACCCACAAAACCCAATCATGCTGGTAGATACAGTAGAGAAAATGGCATTTTGGAGAAAGGAATACTTTCAAAGGAATTTCTAACGAAGTAGCCAAAGTGTTTTTCCTACATGGCCAGAAGAGAACAAGCATTATATTGTCACTGTAGTTTCTGCAGCTGTGTCCCTGGTTGTTCGAAAAGTCTTCTTCTCATTAAGGTAGTTCATTAATATCCTTGGCCATGCCAGGTAGTGGTGGCCCACTCCTTTAATCCAGCACTCAGAAGGCAGAGGCAGGTGGATCTCTGTGAGTTCCAGGACAGCCAGGACTGTTTTACAGGGAAACCGTCTCGAAAAACAAACAAAACCAATCAAGCAAAAACCAAATATCCTTGGCCAGCTATACCCTTATCTTCTTTCCTTTGTAAGATGATAGCCAGCTGTCCTGATCTTTGAGTGGGTCAGCATGTAAGTGGGAAACCTAATATTTGGAGTCTCTCTGTAGCTGGTTAGATCGTAGTAGACACCTATCACTTTCCTGTTGAACAACCAAATGGTGTTTGGGGGAAAAATCATATATATATATATATATACATATATATGTATATATATGTATATATATATATATATGATCATATATAAATCATATATAAGAATCATACACACACACACACACACACACACATGTACACACTTTTTTACCTTTTTAAGTTGCTTTATCCTTCAGCATCATAGGGATTGATTATGTTTATAGCATACATTTTATTTTTAGGTGGAAGCAGCCAGCATCTTCCTCACAGAACCTGACGCCTCTTTGACAGCAATCCTTACCTTCCACTCTATAAGCACTTTATACTCCACTGAGCCATCGTCCCTGCTCTGGTGCAGTTTTTTTCTTATAATCCTAATAAGGTCAAAACATGATGCTGTAGAAGGATCTCATCCCCCTAGGAAACTGAGCTCCAAACAAGACAGAAGGTCATTCTTTCTCCAACATTCCCTTTAAATAATGGAAAAGCTCCAGAGTTGCTGTATTGTTACCATGTCCTAGAAGACAGATGTGTTGCTGTGCCCTTTGGCTTTTTTTTTCCTCCCACACATGCTCTTACATGGTAAGGCAGGTCAAGGATCCAGTCACACACCCTCCTGTCACTTCTTTTTAAAGTTAGGAGAAAATATTCATAACAAAGCTACTATCTTAAACTTTTTTTTGTTATTTTGAGACAGGGTTTCTCTGTGTAACAGCCCTGGCTGTCCTGGAACTAGCTCTGTAGACCAGACTGGCCTCAAACTCATAATTATCCCCTTGCCTCTGACTCTTGAGTGCTGGGTTTAAGAGCATGTGCCACAGAATTGATATTTGCAGAGTATAATTAACATTTGATGAAACACACACCTTTTAAGTGCTATGTTGATGGAGACTGGCAGCTTTGTACTCCTGTGTTACCAAATCAAGTGGACAGTGCCTTGTACCCCTTCTGTACCACCCTGAAGCCCTACCAGGAAGCTGTCCCTTTGCAGAAGTCACTCCTGGTTATATTTCCGTTTTTGTAGAATCTCCTAGTGTTTTTCTATCGTGGCTCAGGGCTACACTGATGTTTTAGAATTCACGTAACTAGAATAACTATTATAACACTGTTGTCTCCTCTACCTTTCTGTTTGCCTGATTTCAAATTGCTTAACCATATACAAGAGTATACAGGTGTTGAACCTCCCAGTGCCTTTTTAAAGTCTGGCAAGGATTTATTAGAAAGGGCATTAGTGGCCAGGCAGTGCTGGTGTAGGCCTTTAATCCTTGCACTTAGGAGGCAGAGGCAAGTGGATCTCTGTGAGTTCAAGGCCAGCCTGGTCTATACAGTGAGTGCCAAGACTACACAAAGAAACCTTGTCTCAAAAAAGTCATTAGTCACAGTGAATAAAAGCCATATAAAAGTCTTGAACAGGTAATTATAGGTCCTGAGCCACCAACACAAGTTAGAATCTTACAAACAGCTATGTTTTGATCAGCCAAGTCACCCACAAACACAGAAATGACTTCATGCTCCCCTCACCCCAAAGACTGATTGGCTAGACAATGGGAAAGAGGATCAAAAGGCTCCTGCCTTTCCAGCTATCATCATGGGACACTTGTGTATGACAGACACCACCAAGTTAGGAATCCTGACAAGATGCCGAGCATTAGTAGGGAGGAGGAGAAGCAGAGGCATGTGTTTCTCATCAGTGACCCTCCTGAGAACCTGCCAGCTTTAAGTCTATTTCTTTTTCTGGAAAAAAGAAAAAAATCCATTTTCTGTTCCTCTTCTTTTTCAGCTTTGGAATCTGGGTACAGTACCAAAATAATATGCTCAGATCAATACACTCATAAAGTGGAGTCACCACAGTGGGGGATGACAGGAAGCCTTACAAGCTCCAGTTTAGAGAGCTCCAGTTTCCAAGACGACTGGGAAGGCCACGGCCTATTTGACAGACAACCGGGAAATCCAGACAGAACTGCCAGTCCTGTGTTAATCAGTCATGAAGGAATGCCCACTTTAAATCAGCAAGCATCCTTTACTTTCTACCAGACAAAGTCCTGTAGATACAATAAACGTAAAAAAGACTTCTGGCAAGAGGAATTCCTTAGTAATCAAGGAATTCCTACTAATGAGAAGCCCTACAAATGTAGGGAATGTGGGAAGGCCTTTAAATATGGTTCTCGACTAGTCCAGCATGAGAATATTCACTCTGGCAAGAAGCCTTATGAATGTAAAGAATGTGGGAAGGCTTTCAATTCTGGCTCAAATTTCATACAACACCAGCGAGTTCATACAGGTGAAAAACCTTATGAATGTAAAGACTGTGCTAAGGCCTTCAGTCGAAGCTCGCAGCTGATTGAGCATCAGCGAATCCATACCGGGGAGAAACCCTATCAATGTACGGACTGTGGCAAGGCCTTCAATCGGATTTCACATCTTAAAGTGCATCACAGAATTCATACTGGGGAGAAGCCCTATGTGTGTAAGCAGTGTGGGAAGACCTTCAGTCACAGGTCTCAGTTGATTCAGCATCAGACTGTTCATACTGGCAAGAAACTCTATGAGTGTAAAGACTGTGGGAAGGCTTTTAATCAAGGATCCACTCTTAGCCGACATCTGAGAATTCATACCGGAGAGAAACCTTATGAGTGCAGGGCATGCGGCAAGACCTTTAGAGTGAACTCACAGCTCAAGCAACATCAGAGAATCCACACTGGAGAGAAACCCTACCAGTGTAAGGTTTGCAGTAGGGCCTTCAAGCGGGTCTCACATCTCACAGTACATTATAAAACTCATACAGATAAAAGGACACATGCATGTAAGGTGTGTGGGAAGGCCTTTAGTCATTGCTCACAACTGATTCGACATCAGGTGATCCATTCGAAGGAAAGGCCCTTCGAGTATAAGGGACGTGGGAGGAGCATAAATCACGATCAGAGACTGCGCAATAGAGGAACACGTATGAACATGGTAAATATAGAAAAGACATCCCTTGGCACTTACCCACTATTAATCATCAGGAAATTGGTGCTAGCAAGCAACCACATGAACGGAAGTAATGCAAAGAACCCACTGGCTTAGGGTAATCACAGCTTGTGCCTCTTGGAAAAAGGGAAGCTAAATGTACAACAAATGTGATGCCTCTGTTTAGAGTTGTTTAAACAAAAAATAAATAAAGACAAAATAAGTTTTGTCTCCCAACATATTCCAGAATATAGTCATGGGATTTTGGTGGAGTTTTTTTTTTTTTTTTTTTTTTTTGTTTTGTTTTGTTTTGAGACATGGTCTCTTTATGGAGCCTTGGCTGGCCTAGAATTTGCTATGTAAACCAGGCTGGCCTTGATCTCATAGAAATCTGACTGCCTCTGCCCTCTGAAAGCTAATATATTAAAGGGAAGAGGAAGCCAATGGGTTAAGACTGAAGTAAGTCCTGCAGATTCTATGAGTGATGATAAAAAGAATGAACTGATACTTTTACATGCTAAGAAAGGAAGCCATATATATTTCCAGGGTGTGGTGACACACGACTTGAATCCTAGCACTTGGGAGATAGGGAGTTCCAGGCTAGCTGGCTACACAGTGAGACCCTGCTATACAGCAATAACCCCAGCTCCAAAAGCTATATCCATGAGAATTAAAAGAATTTTATAAAAACTTCTGTGTGTGTATACACACATATGCATGCAAATACTTCAGTGCATGTGTAGTGATCAGAGGGTAACTTTGTGGGCTCACTCCTTTCTATCCTTTATGTGGGTTCCACAGGTTAAGCTTAGATCACCAGCTTACCCTCTGAGCAATCTCACTGGCCCTTTTCATAATTCAACACACACACACACACACACACACACACACACACACACAAACACTTTTAATCTCAGAGGAATGGTTTACAGGCTTTGAATACATTCTCAAATACATGCAAATCTTAATGAGTACTTAAACACACTAAATACAGGATTCAGAACTACCAAACAGCCAGTCATGATGGTATATGCTTATAATCCTAGCTCTTGAGAAGCTGAGGCAGGAGAATTGCCTCAAGTTCAAGGCCAGACTGGGCTGCATGGTAACACACTGTCTTAAACAAAACAAAACAAAACAATGAAACTGTCCAGTGATGGTGGCACATGCCTTTAGTACCAGCACTTGGGAGGCAGAGGCAGGCAGATCTCTGTGATTTCGAGATCGGCCTAGTCATCTAGTTCCAGGACAGCTTCCAAAGCCACAGAGAAACCCTGTCTCAAAAAACCAACAAAACAAAACAATAACAACAAAAAACTCCAACAACAATGAAACTACCAAACATCCATTCAATAAATTTTAAAAAAATATCACAGGCATAGTTGACAACCTTTTGCAGCCCTGGTGTACAGGGTGAGTTCCAGGACAGCTAGGGCCACACAAAGAAACCCCGACTTGAAAAACAAACAACAAAAAGGACTGAGGGTTTGTGTGGGGAAGCGGGGGACATGGGGCAGTCTAGCCTAGGCACACCCTGTGTACCTTGAATAGCTAGTGTGTGGAGTTGTGCCACATTCCTAGGCTCTTCCTTGCTGTTTTGCTGCAGTATCACAATCCCGAAAGACATGCCTAATTTTCTTTTAACAAGGGAATCGCATTTGGCAGTATTTTCTGACTTGTATCTTCATGATTTTTTTAAATAATGATTTTTGTGTGCTGACACATAAGCTGATGTTTGTCGTTCCCTCAGTGTAAGCGCCTTGTGAAAATCAGTGATGGTTGCCTCTCCATTTCCCTGTTGCTGAATATTCAGGTTGCTTCTGAGTTTCTGGTCATTTGAAATTCTCTGATGAGCATATTCCATGTGTTTTTTTGTTACGTTTTGTTTTACTGTTTTTTTTGGTGGTGGTGGTGGTGGTTAGTGGAGGATACATCCACAATATGATCTCCAGTCTAGAGATCTGACACTGGAAACCTGGTGCAGCTTCACTCACTGCAGCCCAACTTGAGAACTGTTGTTGAGTCTGGGCAAATGCTATCATCCAACTGTCACCGGCTGTCAGTCAGAACATCAGCGAATTGGACCCAGGTTCTTAGGGAGACCTCTGGAAATCAAAATCCCACTGAGCTCGTGGCATTCTAGGAGTCCATGGAGAAAGATGTTTCCCATCATCCCTTCCAGTGAAATTAGAATTGGTCTGGAAACCACACCTACTTAGTATGTGCACACACTGTTATCAATGGATCAAGAAATTCCTTCTTTGGCTGGAGAGATGGCTTAAAAGTTAAGAGCATTGGCTGCTCTCCCAGAGGTCCTGAGTTCAATTCCCAGCAACCACATAGTGGTTCACAACCATCTACGATGAGATCTGGTCCCTCTTCTGACCTGCAGGGACACATGCAGGCAGAACACTGTATACATAATAAATCTTAAACAAACAAAAGGAATTCCTTCTTTGCAAGGCATTGACTGAGTCTGGGATTAATTGTTCCAGAATGTATATGTCTGGCCTGGGGAAGCATGGGAAGAAAGGTTTGGCTTATGAAGAAAGGTTTGGCTTATGAGAGCAACATCTCAGTAGTAGACCCCAAACTAGTCCACACTTCAGAAACAGGTTGGCTGGGTGTGGTGGTGTGGAGTAGTTACTTGGAAGATTGAGGTAGGAGCATCATTGGATCCCAGAATTTCCAGGCCGGTTTGAGCAACAATATTCTGTCTTTAAAAAACAAACAAACAGATCTGTCATGATAGTGCATGCCTTTAATCCCAGCAGAGGTAGGCAACTCTCTTTAGTCCGAGGCCAGCCTGGTGTACTGGCTGAGTTCCAGGGCAGCCAGGGTTACACATCTGCCCAGCAGGTGGCACTGTAGTACTGTGAAATGTCCCTCACTATCAAAAGATTATTAAAAACCCTTTCATCTATTCTAGTTTTAACTCCTGCTTGGGTCATTAACTTCTAATATCTTCTGTGGACAGCTTTACAGGACAGAAATAGAATAAATTTCGCTAGACACTGTTTTGTTGAGACAGGGTCTCACTATGAAGCTGGAGTCTGGATTTAAAGGTAAGCACCTTCCCAGGTTCCCCCCCCCTTTTTTTTATGGTTTAATTCCCTTGATACAATTGATGACCTCACCACTATCATGTTTTAGCACTGAGCTGCTTAAAACATGTCTGCATCTTCAAGAGACTTCAATAGAACTCTGTGCAATTTAGCTTCCTTCCCTACAACATGGCTTGTGTGCCAGTTGAATTCTGGCATCCCCTTCCCCAATGTAGAAACACAAATCCAATGAGCTTAGTATACCTGTCCCTTTCCTCAGTTGCAGGATTAGACCATCCTGTCCTCTGTCTAGGAGCATGAAAAGGTGGAGAAAGTCACAAGAGAAGATGTCTAGATGCTGAGACTGAGGAGGCTTCTGTCTGTTTATCCATCTATTATCCCTTCCCATTTATCATTAATCTATGTATATTTGTCTACTCATCTATCATATATTCCTTACCCTTCTGTAACCTGCGTGTCTAGTCTTTCAACATTTCTAGAAGTGGAAAGATAGTCTTTTGTTATTTATAACAATTTTCAATCATGTATGAGTTTCTTCAAATGAGGCGATTAGAAGTTTTGTTTTGGAAATTTATTTTCCTTCACTTCTGCTTTTCCAGGTCCTGGGAGCTAAAAGTGTTTTGAAACGGGATCATCATTCTAGCCTAGGCTGGCCTAGAGCCCACTATGAAACCAAAGCTGGCCTTGAACACAAGTTCAATTCTCATGCCTCAGCTCCCCAACTTCTGAGATCACAAGAATGAGCCACTGCAGCCAGCGAGATCACCCAGGGATCTGTTAAGGTCTTTATGTGACCATAGGGAGCTAGCTAGTTCCCAGAGGAACCAACCAAGTGCTATGACAGCTGCAAGTCACAGCTCTATGGGGTGGGGAGAGAAAGGATTAACAGTAGCAGATGATTTCATCAATCAAGCCTACCTAATGAAGCCTTAGTCCCCTCCACCTGCCCCCCCAGCAAAAACAACAACAAATACTTCAAGGCTTCCAGAAAGACCAAGGAGATAGCAATGTGTGGGAGAGCGACACACTTCAATTCTGTGGGGTTAGAAAGTTCAATTCTCATGGTCCTTGTGGACTTACGATTGTGTCCTTTAAAGTCTCCTAAATTAGACCACAAGAAAAAACACATGTTTCCTTGATGTCTCTCACTCTAGCAAATTAAAAGAACTCAAGAAGTGAGGGCGGCATTAGAGTTAGAAACACAGGCAAAATAACCAGAATTTGGGGCTTCCATCACTAACAGTGGGGCCTAGCCTTCAGTCTCCAGGTAGTGTCAAGATAGTTGATGGCAACTAGCAGATCGACATCTTTTATGAAAGTTTCCCAAAGATGTTGAAATGTTATCTGAAGAAAACAGGAAAAACACGATACACACTTCCTGCTTTATATTTCTTTATAGCTTTTTCCCCCTCCCCCATCATTTGTCAGGCGTCTCCATCTGTGGGAGGTAAGAACTAGGAAGCCAGGGAATTGTCTTTTTTTTTTTTTCTTTTTCTTTCTTTCTCTCTCTTCATCCAAGTGGCCTCATTTGTAAGTATCGATTTCTTGGTCCTTCAAAGGCAGGGATGATTTCCACGTTGGCAAAGGGCAGAAGCAGCCTGTGTATTCGGGTTCCCATAGCGTTGTCGTATTCATTGCTCCCAGCACTGACACTGCTGGGCACAGAGGTGATCAACGTTGAGCGGGAAGGAGGAGGAGGCGAACCGATGCAAAACAGTGGCAAAGCTGCGCCCGCAAAGGCCAGACTTGCAAGCCCGGGGTCGAGGCGGTTCACACGCCTCTAACCCCAACATTTGGGAGGCGGGTGCCAAGGACGCTGGTTACACAGCCATTCGGAGGCCACCTGGCGTCTCCTCCCTCCCCTAAACAAACTCACAGTCGCAAACCCGCATCAAGGACAGAGCTTGGGGAGGTGACGGGGACGCGCGCGTCACGGAGGCGCGCTCGCGCGACTGCGGGGTTGGTAACTAGGGACGCCTGCGGTCTCTAGGCAGTGTGGGCGCCGCCCTGACTGGCGCGCGCAGAAACCCCGGGCCACCCGCACGCAGTCACGCCGCGTCCCAGCTCCCGCCCTTTCCGTCACCTGCTGCGCAAAGTGCGCGTCTCCGCCAGCCGCGCGCCTCGCCTCCGCTGAACCCGCCCTCCGGGCTAGGCCCCGCCCTCCTGGCTAAGCCCCGCCCCCGGGCTAGGCCCCGCCCACCCCTCTCCCTCTCTGCTGAGAACTGGCCCCCGGGCTAAGCCCCGCCCTCGGCTAAGCCCCGCCCCACCCCCCTCCCTCACTGCTGAGAACTCGCCCCCGGCTAAGCCCCGCCCTCCGGTCTAGGCCCCGCCCCCGAGCTAAGCCCCGCCCATCGCCCTCACTGCTGAGGAGCCGCCCTCCTCGATAACACCGCCCCTTACCTCAGACTGCGGCTCTCTCCTCAGTGCAGCGCCGCCCTCACGACGGAGTACTCTCTAAGCCACGCCCCTCACCTCACGCTGCGGAGAACCCTTTCCCCGCAAGCCCCGCCCCTTCAGACACGGCTGAGAACCGCCCCTTCCTCAAGCCCCGCCCTCCCCTCGGACTGTACTGAGAACCCGCCCCTCCTGGATAACCCCGCCCCTCACCTCAGCCTGCGGAGATCCCGCCCCTCCGTCGTTTAGAGCCACCCTCACCATTGACTAGCAAGCCCCGCCCCTTCAGGCTCCGCTGAGAGCCCGCCCCTTCTCCAAGCCCCGCCCCTCACCTCTGCCTGAGATCACGCCCCGCTCTCCGTTTAGCGCCGCCCTCACCATTGACTGCACCGAGGTCCCGCCCCTCCGCAAGCCCCGCCCCTCCACGCTCTGCAGAGAGCCCCGCCCTGCTGGATAAACCCCCGCTCCTCGCCTCCACGCAGCCTCGCTTTCACCCTGCACAGAAACAGCTCTTGCTCCCCGAGACCCGCCTCTCACCTAGGACTTCTCTGGGCCGGACACGCCCCCACCTCAGCCCGCCTTTCTTCCTGGGGGACACGCCCCCACGCTAAGCCACGCCTTTCTTCCTGGGGACACGCCCCCACCTCAGCCCGCCTTTCTTCCTGGGGGACACGCCCCCACGCTAAGTCCCGCCTTTCTTCCTGGGGACACGCCCCCACGCTAAGCCCCGCCTTTCCGGGACTCCGCGCCTTCTCGGCGGGCGGCCGGACGAGGCTGCGCCTGCGCAGGGGACCCTGCGGCCTCCCGGCGTGCCTCGGGTGACAGCGTGCGGGTGAGGCTGCAGGCGGCTGGGCTGCGGCGGTTGCAGGGGGAGAGCGAGCGAGCCCGCGTCCCCCAGGCCCACGGCGTCCTTGGGGGAGGTGGGCGGGCCGGAGCGCGGGCTCGGACGGCCGCGGGGCCGGATCCAAGTGCGAGCTTGGGTGTGGGTGTGCCAGGCCGGGGCGCGCGCGCGCGCGAGTGCGTGTGTGTGTACACGTGTGCGCGTGAGAGTGAGTGAGTGCGTGTGTGAGTGTGTCGGGGCGCGTGTGTGAGTGTGCGTGCATGTGTGCATGCGTGTGTGTGTGTCAGTGTGTGTGTGTGTGAGTGTGCGTGTGTGAGAGACTAAGTGGGCTGTGAGTTCTCAGCGTACGAGTGCCTTGAGAGAGGAAGACAGTCAGGGAGAAGTAAGCAGGGCGGGTGTGAGACGACTGTGAGGTGTGTCTCCCGGTGTGCTGCACCCCAGCACTTAAATGCTTGGACGCTCCAAAGTGGTAAATAAACACCTGGAGAGACCGTGCGCGTGATTGGAGCCTGGCGGACTCATCGCAGGAGACGCCAAATGAGATTGGAGGATGAGGACTTAAAGTCCCAGACCCCAACCAACCAGGAGAGGAGAGGGGCGGAAGCGTAAACCGATCGCCGAAGGCCCGTTGTTGTTTTGAGACTCAGTGTATAAGTATAGGATGACTTCGAACCCCCGATCTTCTTGCCTCAGCCTCCCCAGTGTTACGATAACAGGCGTGTGGGACGACTTCGTGGAGTTGGTTCTCTCCTTTACCCTTTCGGGTGGGTTCTGGGAATTGAATTCTGGTCCTGGAGCGTGAATGAGAACTTTACCTGCTGAGCCATCTCTCCAAGTACCTTTAAACATATTCTTTATAATCACCTAGGAGCCACTCAGGCGAATTGATTGATCGAAGTATGAGGGGCTCATAGCAAACTTATAGCCGTTTCTTCAGTAGCACGGGTGGACTTGCGTCCAGCATCAGAACGAAGACGTAGTTGCAGAGGTTGAACCTTCAACCTGTAGGGTCTGACATGATAGTCCCAGAACTGAATTCGATGGAAAGATACCCAGCGTGTCTTCTGCAGAACTGTTTGCTGGATGTATTTGGGAAGACTTTAGAAGTGTTTGCTTTGCAAAGATGAGAAGCTGCGTTTGTGTATTCTCTATCATCGAAGTTGTGTGTGTGTGTGTGTGTGTGTGTGTGGTGTGTGTGTTAGAGACCGATTTTGAAAAAATAGAGGATATGAATCTTGCCTTAGTATAAATGTTGTATGGCTTTTTCCTTTCTGTTTTTCATGATTATACCATTGACATGTTGGACAGAGTGTATCAGGACCCTGCAGCCGTAGTGACTAATTTAGAACAATAATAGAGACGGCTCGGCCTTTTGTAATGGCGATGTGACCTGAGCTGTCCTTTATGAGATGGGCTGTCTGACCCACTAAGTCATAAAGCAGGATGTGCATGGCAGCAATCTGTTACCAAATACAAATTGGTACTGGGGAGTGGTGTATCGCTGTGCCAGGCCTGGCCATGCTGCTGGTTGGTGGGGTGTGGACTTTGGAACTTTGGGTTAGGAAAGAAGTTGAATGCTTTAAGCGGAGTTTGATGGCTCATTCTAGTTGGAGGAGAGAAGACAGTGGTAATAAGAGCAACCTAGAGCATGATGGCCTGACTCCAGAGCTTTCCGAGGAGAAGAACTTTAGCAAGCGGCTTAGAAACCATTCTTGTGATATTTTGGCAAAGACTGTGGCTGCTTTTTTTTTTTTTTTTTTTTTTTTTTTTTTACCCTCCACCTAAAAATCAGCCTGAAGCTAAGTCAAAGACTTTTGGATTAATGACATCGACAGAGGTGCCCAGTATTGACTGTGTTATGTAGTTCTTAGTGGTCACTCTTATGCATATCTATTAAAAAAAAAAAGGAGCAAGCTGATCGAAAGGGAAATTTAAAATATACAGTTTGAGGAGAAAGGGAGCTGTAATAGAGCTAACTCCACTGCTCAAGGAGATGGAAAGAAGGGTTTAAAGGAAAGCCTGATGCTAAATGGAATAAAGGGAATGTTGACCTAAAGGCAAGACCCCTCCCAGCTAAGCTTTCGTCTTGTGAAAAGGAATTAAAGAAAAACTTAAGCATTGAAGGAAACTATCAAAACCAGAAAACCGATGAAGATGTAACTAAACAAAGGGGCCATGTTCCAGCCCCAGAAAGCAGCAGACTTTGACTGCTTTGGCTGTGTAATTCTAGATGTAGAGTCAAGGGTAGAAGAAAGGGGTTATGCAATCTCCTCCCATGCCTAAGGAAAGCTGCCGAGGCCAGGCATGAGTCAGGGGTGTCCCAGCATGAAAGCCCCGAGAGGTCATTGCATGGCACCGGGAATGTGAAGCCTGATTGTGTTGGAGACCCCAAGATGTTGGCGATGCCAGAGTCGCGGGGTACCTACCAAGAATAGGTGCAGATTGAGTGCAGAACCAGCCAGGGAGAAAGAAGTGTGCTGCAGTCGGCAAAGCTGAAAGGAGCTGGAGATCTGAAGAGCTTTGACACCAGACCTGGAGATGCAGAGTTTGGAGTTTGCCCTGATGGTTTGGGTGTTGTTTCGCTTCAATATTTCTGCACTACGCTCCTTTTCCTCCCATCTGGGATGTTAATAGTGTGTATCCCATTGGATTGTATGTTGGAAGTATGTGATCTGCTTTTTAATTTTGATTTTATGGGGGCTACAGTTAATACAGAAGATATTTTGAACTTTGGACTTTGTAAACAGTGTTGAGACTGTGGTTAGGCCATGGGGACTTTTGAAGTTGGATTGAGTGCATTGCCATCAGGGCACTACTTGGGAAGGATCAGAAGGTGTAGCCTTGTTGGAGTAGGTGTGACCTCTTGCTCATTTCTTCCTGACACCGCCTCCCAAATGCTGGGGTTAAAGTGGCATGCCTCTACGCTCAGAAAACATCACGTTCTTGTGGGTGAGCATGGGAGAGAAGGGTGAGCAGCTGTGTGTGCAACCAGGTTGGATGAGAAAGATGCTCTGAGCCATGGTGTGGTGCCTGAGAGGCTTTCCGAATGTAGGGTGGTTGCTGTTGTAGCCTGTGCATGTGAGAGAAATAGGTAAGAGGCTGTGATCCTGTGGGTGAGAGAGAGAGAGAGTAAGATTGTAGGATTGGAGTGGCTGTGAAGGTGTGTGTGTGTGTGTGTGTGTGCGTGTGTGTGCACGCGCGCGTATATGTGTGTGTGTGTGTGTGCGTGCGCACGTGTGCGCCCAGGCCTCTTGGAGATCATGCCCTGTGTGGTTGTCAGTGTTGTGCTTTCTCTCGGGTACCTGTGATGTGTCTTCCATGAGATTAGAAAGCATGTGAGCTCTTGTGTTGGTATTTGCAATGGCACTTTGTATGCTGTGATTATGGCCTGGTGCGTATGGAGTGACTACTTGAAGATTGTTAGAATTAGACTTATAAAACATAAAAACACTATTATATTTTAAGTTTCTGTTTATTAGTTTAGTTGTGGGGATACATACAAGACATAGTATAGTGTGTGTGTGTGTGTGTGTGTGTGTGTGTGTGTGTGTGTTAGAGGGCAACTTTTAGGAGTTGGTTTTCTCCTTTCAACAAGTGAGTCCTAGGGATCAAACCTAGATCCACAGGTACTTTATTCTCTGAGCCATCTTTCTGGGAGATTTTCTTTTTCCTTTTTTCTCTTATTATTTTATTTTAATTTTTTTAGTCTTGAATTTCTGGAAAGTATCCTGCCTCAGACTCCTGATTGTTGGGATTTCAGGTATGCACTACTGTGTCTCGTTAACATTAGATTCTCTCTCTCTCTCTCTAAAGATTTATTTATTTTTATGTGTGTGAGTGTTTTGCCTAAATGTATATCTATATACCACATGCTTTCCTGGTGCCTGTGGAGGACAGAATAGGGTATTGGGTGCCTCGGAACTGGAGTTACAGATACTTGTGACCAGCCCATAAAAACACAAAATCAGAAACCATAATAATATGTAAACAACAGACCACTAAAGTTTAAAAAAAAAAAAAGATGCCCAGACAACAAAGTGTAAGAGAAAAAAACTCCCCCCAAACGCCATTGAGTTCATTTTGTGTTAGCCATCTACTCTTGGGCATGAAGCCTGACCGTGAGTGTGGTGTGTGTACCCAGTGGGAAAAGCTAATTTTTCCTCTGTGAGCAGTTGACAATTGGAGATAGCTTCTGGGTTAGGAATGAGGGTTCAAGTCCACTTGCCTTCTCAGTGCTGGGGTCCCGTCTGGCTTGGACCCGTCCAGGCTCTGTGTATGCTGCCGAGGTCTCTATGCGTTGACAGTGAGTGTCAGTGCTGTTGTGTCTAGAAGACACAGTTTCCTTGGCGTCCTCCATCCCGACTTGCCCCCCCCCCCCATGGTTCCCTGGTCCCTGGAGGGATAGGTTTGAGGAAGACATCCCATTTAGGACTGAGTGCTCCAAGGTCTCTCACGCTCTGCACACTGTCCAGTAAGCCCGTCTTTGTGGTAGTCCCCATCTCCCGCAGGAGGAAGCTTCTTGGATAATGACCGAGCAAGACGCAGATCTGCTTCACAGCCTGGTGTCGTAGGTGGTTTTAGATGGGGTCAAGTGGACAGTGACGTTCAAGCATCCTCCCTGCTCTCAGCCATCTATGTGGATTCAGGCCAGCCGAAGCTGGGAGGAAAGAGAGAGAAGGAGCAGCTTACACTGGCGAAGGAAGCTGGGAGAACATGCAGACTTTGGCTTTTCCTGCCCTCTCTTCCTCTAGTCTGGACTTCCCAGGACACAGTTGTTCTCCACGGGAGAAACCGGGAGGAGAAGGCAAGAAATGACCGTTGAAGTAATGGAAGCCACGTTACAGGTTAGTTCGTGCCTCTTCCCCGTCACGAGACGGGGCCCTGATGGTTGGCACTAACTAACGCTACTCCGGAAATTCTGTTACTAGTCTTTCCCAGGACCTGGCCACTGCTTCTCCCACAGGCTATCACCCTTTAAGTGCCTAGTAGGTGAACAATACAAATGATGAGGCACAGGGCCCGTTCTGGAATGCTTCATTTCCCTACTTACATACACTGCTTTATGACACAGAATCTCCCTAGTTCATGGCAGGCACCTTGAAAGTTCATGGTTTGGGCCCGATTAGTTCCTGGATGGGAGACAGAATGTAACTATGGAGCTCAGGTTGGCTTCAAACTCACAGCAATCCCCCTGCCTCCTGCTCCTGAGTAGTAGGTTTATAGGTGTGTACCACCGTGCTCTGAGTGTACATTTTTTAACCAGTTTGGGCTCTTGTCAAAAAGGCTTGTTCGCTTTTACATGAGACAAGCGTCTCCGTGCTACTGAGAACTGGGTTTCAGGTTAGATGGACATGTGAAGCCCCTTTCATGTACCCTGTAGAATTTCTGTCTGCCTCTGTCCCTAAAATGATAACATGGAGTTCGTAATTGGCATCTGAATTTAAGGAAGTCTTGTGACATGTGACCCTGTCTGGGGCATGTGGTTCAGGACTAGATTGGACTGAGCATTGCCACCCGCTGCCCACAGCAGGGGCGACTGGATGCAGGCAGGCAGAGCCCCACATACTTTGATCATCAGAGATCAAGGGAGTTTTGAGGGTGTAGGAGAAAAGGAGAGTTGGGTCATGCATCATTTCATTCTTTTCTTTTTTCTTTTTGTTTTAAGATGAGAAGGGGCCTTGAGCTCCTGGACACAGGCGTCTTCACCTCCCAAGCAGCGTACTCAATCTCTGTTTTCTGTCTCCATATTCTGATTTCCCAAACATTTCATTTAAGTGGAATGACACAAGATGCAGTCTTTTTTGTCTTTTATTTAGTAACTGACTTGCAAGGTGAACAGCTACCTCTACTCCAAGCAGAATAATGAAGATGTAACAAAACTTTGTAAATGTATTTGTGTCATCTCAGGACTCAGTGACATTCAAAGATGTTGAGGTAGACTTCTCCCAGGAGGAATGGGAGCAGCTGAACCCGGCTCAGAGGAGTTTGTACAGGACTGTGGTGCTGGAGAACTACCGGAACTTGGTCTCAGTGGGTAAGCATCCTCCCTGCGGATAATCCAGAATCTACCCTTACACACCTTTCACATTAAAAAAAAAATTTTAAAAATTATTTTATGTGCATTGGTGTTTTGCCTGCATGTATGTCTGTGTGAGGGTGTCAGATCCTGAAGTTACAGTTGTGAGCTGCCATGTGGGTGCTGGGTTCAAACCCAGGTTCTCTCGAAGAGCAGTCGGTGCTCTTAAGTCTCACCGAGCTATTTCTCCAGCTCCCACCTTTGACATTTCTATTACTAAAGCTTTGCTTATTGTGTTGGGGCTAGATGAGAATTTCAGAGGTAGTCCGTGAGTTTGATGTTTTGTCAGATACTCATGGTTATATCTTTAGGCACCTAGAAGCCCAGACTTGGTGGGAATGGCAGCAGGTCTGTCTGCTTTTTGTTGCCTCTCTGTTACAGTTCTGTTAATCTCACCAGTAGGTGGTAACAGGGCTGGGGAAGAATACGGCCTGGTTACTATTGCAACAGGGACTCGGACCTAGCACAGACTCCCTGATAGAAGCACCATTCAGGCTGTAAACCTCAGCAAGAGGACAGCACCATCACCAGCTCAAATGAAACTAAGACCTAATCCACCAAAGACCATATAGTTCTGGGAAAGTCTCTAAATGCACTAAACTTGCTTTTTGGGTTCTTTAGTTCCGCTTCTGGCTAACTGTTCTTATTAACTGAAGTATGGGAACCCAGAACGTGTTATTTGCGCTTAAAAGCTCACCCTGAGAAAGACTCAGTGCTACACTGGGATCCCAAACACCCAGTGTAGTCGCCGGCTGGCTAGTAAAGACTTTCTATTGGATTAAACCCTTGTCCAAGTAGTCTTCTCTGGTTAATACCCCACAACACTATACCTGCAGAATATAACTTTTCAAATACGCTTGCAAAATTTTTATTACATTAATTTTTATGGAGAGACATTGATTTTACACGGGGACACATGTATGCCACATGCAAGTTGGAGTGAGGGTGGCTTATAGGATTGGACCAGCTGAGGTCATCAGGTTGGTAGCAAGTGCCTTTACTCACTGAGCCATCTCAGTAACCCCCAAATACTTACCTTCTTAATTAACTTACGATACATCGGTGAAACCCAATGTCTTAAACTCTCTTCTGACGCTTGCTTGCTATTGGAGAGACTAAAAAGGATCCTTCTAAGCCTGGAGTCCATACATGTTTCTGGATGAGCTTGCTGTTCTCCACAAGTTCCTTGTCCCAATCCTCTTTAGCTTCTTTAGGCCAGTGGCTCTCATCCTTCCTGATGTCCTGACCCTTTAATACAGTTCCTCATGTTGTGGTGATCCCCAACCATGAAATCATTGTTGTTGCTACTTTATAACTATAATTCTACTACTGTTACGGACTGTAGTGTAAATATCTGATATGCGACCCCCAAAGGGGTATTGACCCATACCGTTATAGTAGTTTAATTCCTGGAGGGTTGACTATTCCAGAGACTTATGTGCCAAAACAACCCAAACGTGACCACTTTTGTCTTTCTGTTGTCGTTGCTGTTGTTAATGCAGGAGCTTGTATTTCCAAGCCACATCTAATCTTGTTACTGGAGCACGGGAAGGCGCCTTGGGAGGTGAAGGGCGAGTCGACGAGAAGCGCATCACAAGGTGAGAATGCCAGAAGCACGTGGAAAAACCTCCATGGGGAATGGCTCAGCCATCCTCAAAGGTCCTTCCCTCCCCGCCGGGGCTTCCCAGGGACCCTTCCCAAGCCTTACGGTGCTGGGTGTGAACTGAAGTCTCCTTGCTTAGCTCGAGCTCCCTTCTGTTTCACTCCCCCCTCTTCCATTGCCCTCTTGTCTCTGTAGGAAGTTGTTTCTACCAAGGAGAGTGTCCTCGTCCCCTTTCTGTTGCTTTGATGAAGCTCCCTGACAAGAGCAGCTTTAGGGGGACGTGTTTATTTTAGCCTGCAAGTCCACACTGGTCCATCATTGTGGGGAATTCATAGCGACATGACCATGCAACCGCTGGTCACAGCAGAGAGAATGAAGCATGAATGCCTGTCACTCAGCTAGCTTTCTCTACTCATACACAGTCCAGGGCCCCAGGGCTGAGCATGGTGCTGCCTACATGCATGCTGGGTCGGCAAGCCAAGGCGATCCCCCACAGCCATGCTCACAAGCCAGTCTTATCTGAGTGACAGTCAGTCCCTCACTGAGACACCTTTCCCTAACCATCACCGATAACAACAAAACCCTACATTAACTGGCCTAAAACGTGCCACTTCTCCTAAGTTGTTGAAAGAAAATGAAGAAATTCCTTGCTATGAAGCCTGAATTGCATGGGATATGCAGAGTTTGCACTGAAGCACAGACATATAAAGGACAGACCTTAGGAGCACCGTTCTCTGGTTACAAAATTATAGCCATGCAGTTGCCTTTAAATCCCAATGGGAGGTCAGAAAGCATAGTGTGTGTGGTTGCTGGGCATCTCTAGAGAGTTCTGAGAAGCACCAGTAAGTAAATATATTGGTAGTTAAACAAAACTAACTGCATGTTCTAATCAATTAAAAGTAGGAGACGGGGGCTAGAACAGTGGCTCAGTTGCTAAGACCCGAGTTCCATTCCCAGCACCCACACGGTAATTCACAAGTGCCTGTAGCTCCACTTCAGGGGATCTGACGGCCTCTCCGACCTCCGCAGGCACCAGGCATGCACATGGTGCGTAGACATGCACACAGACAGAACATCCACACATATTGAATCAGTAAGTAAATAAATATATATGTGTCTTTAAAGGTAGAAGACAATACAGAAGTGAGTTCAATTTGTAGCCTGTCCCCAAATACCATTGTCATTGTGGACTGCTTCTCCCTGGCCCTCATCTTATACTTAGTTTTCTGCTCATTTTCCCATGTTCCCATTCCTTTCTGGCTCTTCCCTGCTGCCATATTTGTCTGTGTGTCATTCTGACAAAATACCTGCTGTAGTCAGCCTAAGAGAGGAAGGATTTGGCTTGGGCCTATGGTTTCAGAGGTTTCCAACTTTGATGAGCTGGCTCCATGGCTTTGGGACTGCTGGCAGAGGCATGGAGAAAGGGCGTGGTGCAGGAAAGCCAGAAGGCAGACAGAAAGAAGCCTGCCCGTGCCACTGACTTCCCTTCCGAGTTTCCTTTATGCCAGGCTTCCAGGTATCAACTAGTGGCATCACCTTCAGTGAAGGCACTAACTCCCTAGTTAATCCGCTTTGGAGACAGCCTCTCACGTATACCCAGAGGCGTGCTTTACTGGTCTCAATGCAGTTTTTCATCCTGTAGAGTTGACACTCAAAATTAGTCATGACAAGCTCTTATTCTTAGGGACAACCTTGCACATTTTCCAGTTGATATACTTGTATGTAATTGTATGGACATTACTAAATAGTTTTGTATTACTTCACTTCAGATGATTCTTTTGTTAATAGCACATGATATGATAAAGAACACATTATTTTTTACACTTTTCAGATGGGGAATTTGTACACAAGATACAAGAAGTGTCTCTGAAGCAGTTTGTGTTTGATAATGTGTCAGTGGAGAAAATTACAAGTTTTTGTCCTGAGGGTCCCACGACTGGAAAAAGGTGGAAATGTCAAGACCTTTTTGAAAGACAAATGATGAATCAAGACATATTATTTCACATGAAAGAAACAGTCACTCATAAAGAAACTCACACTAAAGAAATAGGCTTCAAATACTCCAAATCTTCAAAGGCTCTCCATTCGGACAACGTAGAAGAGACTATTTACAGTCACAAGTTAAATAAGAAAAGCTTCTCCAGAAATCCCAAGGTACGAAAATACAAGAAAATCTGGGCAGGAAAGAACATTTTCAAATGTAACGAATGTGAGAAAACCTTTACCCATAGCTCATCTGTTACTGTTCATCAGAGAATTCATACGGGTGAAAAACCATATAAATGCACAGTGTGTGGAAAAGCCTTCAAGCAGGGCCATCACCTTGCTCAGCATCATACAACTCACACCCATGAGAAACTCTTTGAATGTAAGGAATGTAAGAAAGCCTTCAGCCAGAACTCATACCTCATTGTGCATCAAAGAATTCATACTGGAGAAAAACCATATAAGTGTAAGGAGTGTACAAAATCCTTCAGGCAGCCTGCACATCTCGCCCAGCATCAGAGGATTCACACAGGGGAGAAACCCTACAAGTGTACGGAATGTGGGAAGGCCTTCAGGGATAGTTCTACCTTTGCACAGCATCAGAGGTGTCACAGTGGCAAACGGCCCTTTCAGTGTGTTGAGTGTGGTCAAGCCTTCAGGTATAATATGTCCCTTACTCGTCACTTTAGGCATTATCACACTGGAGAGAAGCCATTTGATTGCACTGATTGTGGGAAAGTCTTCAGTGTTCACATAGGACTGACTTTGCACAGGAGAATTCACACTGGAGAGAAACCTTACAAATGTAACGTGTGTGGAAAAGCCTTCCGCAGTGGGTCATCCCTGACTGTACACCACAGAACTCACACTGGTGAGAAGCCTTATAAATGTAATGTTTGTGGGAAAGCCTTCAGCCATAGCATGTCACTCACTGGCCATCAAAGAGTTCATTCTGGAGAGAAACCTTATAAATGTAAAGAGTGTGGGAAAGCTTTTCGGCAGAGTATACATCTTGTTGTTCATTCGAGAATTCATACTGGAGAAAAACCCTATGAATGTAAGGAATGTGGGAGAGCTTTTAGAGAAAGTTCACAGCTGACCACTCATCAGAGAAATCACACAGGAGAAAAACCTTTTGAATGTAAGCAGTGTGGTAAGTTTTTCAAAAGAAGTACCTATCTTGCCAGACATCAGAAAATCCATTCAGGAGAAAAACCTCATGAGTGTAATGAATGTGGGAAAACCTTCACTCACACTGCCTACCTTATTAGACATAAGAGAGTCCATACTGGAGAGAAACCTTACAAATGTACCGAATGTGGAAAGGCGTTTGGTGATGGCTCATCCCGTGCTCAGCATCAGAGACTCCACACAGGTCAGAGGCCCTATGTATGTGATCAGTGTGGAAAGACATTCAGAACAAAGTCATCTCTTAATTGTCACCAAAGATGTCATACTGGAAAGAAACCTTAAAACTGTATCCCCTTCGGCAAATCCTTTAGCCACTGATAAACAGTTACTGCAGTTACTGTTTATCAGAGAATTTAACTTTCAACCGGATTGTTTATTCTATGTGAAGGAATTCACACAGGTAAGAGAGCTCTTAGGATTGCAAGGACCATGGAGAAATCGTCAGGCAGTGTTCTTAAAATGTCCATCATTGGTGAGTTCTTGATTCGGAGTCATTTCAGGCATTCCTTTGTGTCACCAAGTCCTGTGTATACACTTGCTAAGTATTTCCATTTTTTTCTGTTCCTATTACCCTGCTCCAAAACACAATTGTTTCACTTGGACTTTTCCAAATGTCTGTAATTGGTATTGTTTCCTTCAAGTTTATTACTCATTTTACAATCAGAATCTTTAAAAAATATAAATGTTATTTATGTAACTTCTAAAAACTCATTGTAAAAATGTCTATTTAGTGAATATGAGATGCTTACTTATTTGGCTACATAAAATTTGGATGCGTAACATCCTTCCAATGACTAGGAGACGCATAAGCACAGACCCCAGAGGCCACACATGAGGAACATGAGGGGATCTGTGAGCCAATGCCTCTATTAGGACCAAGGGTCCTGCCTGAAACAAGAGGCGTGACCTCCGGGAGATCATGCCATGTATGATCATTGTGGCTTGTGTGCCCAGGCCATCCGCAGCAGTTCATTTAGGGGCGGGGGCCCAGTTGGACAGGAGACATGCTTCCATGTTCTTACTCTTGGCACCAGCTTGAGCCATCTGTGGACCTTGTGCTGCTAGAAAGTGTCAAGGGTGACCGACCGATGCGCCCAGCATGGGAAAGTTAAAACGTTAATTAGATTGATACCTAGAAAACATATAGTTATAGGACCCATGGTGAGTGCTTAGAAAATGTGTTAGATCAGAAATACTATTTCTAAACTGTAGACTCTGGAATTTTGAATATGACCCAGGTGATCATAACAATTTAGAAACTGGAAGTGTCTTCAGGTGGATGACAATTAGCAAGTGTATTATGTTTAAAGTTTAATAATATAGAAGCTTTCTAATGAGTCTAAGGCTATTTTTCCTTATGTGCAAAGGAATTAAATATGGTCTGCTATGTAGAACCTGTTTTGGGAAGGGCATAGAACTTTAAATATAACTGGAATGAAAGGATTAGAATTTGTTTGGGAAAATATGTGCAAATGTATAATCAAGGGAAAAAAAAGGAAGGGTTTCTAATGTTTGCTATCAAGCCTCTGGCATATCATTCTAGCTGAAACAGTGAGCTCCAGGTTCACCATGAGAACCTATCTCAAAATATAAGGTGGAAGGTGATAGACTCCCATGTGGACTTCAGCCCTCCACAGTGCACACATGGGCAGTCACATCCACAAACGTGCACATATGAATACATTTACAAACAAGTAAACAAAAGGTTTAAAAGGGGGCTTGTGGCTGGGTTTGTTGGCACACACATCTAATTCTAGCATTCTGACCATAGAAGTGGGTGGATCTCTAAGTTCAAGACTAGCCTGGTGTACAGAGTGAGTTCTAGGGCAGCCAGGGTCACACTGTAAGGAGTAAGCTCCCCCCCCCCCCCCAAGCTGGTCTTGTCCTGCTGCCGCCAGCCCCAATTAACACACAGAGACTCTGTATTTGATACAATGCTGTTGGCCCGTTACTAGTTTCTTATCGGCTAGCTCTGTCTTAATTATTAACCCATTCCTATTAATCTATGTATTTCCATGTGGTCTCATCTTACCAAGAGCCTGCGTCCTGCTCTCTCCAGACTCTTCATGTTGACTCCTCCCTCCTACTTCCCCCATTCTCCTTGTCTCCTAGTCCCTCCTGTCTTCCTTCCCTATTGGCCAATAGTGCTTTATTCATTAACCAGTATGAGAAACATATATACAGAATGACATCTCCCATCATCACACAGTGAAACAAAAGGTCACAGCCATACACATAAAAATAAGTCTTTCAGGTGATTCCCAATGCTACAAGATTGTTAAAAGAAGTTTGGTATAAAGTTACCTCTAGGTTATATGTTTGTGAAGCATAAATGGAATATTTCATTATGGTATGCACATATTCCTAAATTAGAAAGAAAAATAACGTAACACTTTTGGTTTGAAACATTTTGGGTAATGAATATTTTGCTTGCCCATGATAAAGTGCATGGTTTCCCCCTCGTGTGCATGCAGCACTAACTAGATTCAGTTGAATGTATATTATATATTCATATGTATTATATATGAAGGACATGAATGTGTGAGTATTGGGTGTATCTGGGAGAGCAGACGCGTTGGACAGGATCAAGACGTGGTGTATACACACATATGGAACTGACAAGGATTAGACATTTTATTGGAGCATCCAAGAAGCAAATCCCGGGAAGACTGCAGACCTAGGGCCTGGTAGTGCATGCAGGGGGTGAGGGGCTTTCGAACAGCATGCATTAGAGTTGAGGTGGTCTGGGGAGAATGGAAGGAGGTGATCGCAGCAACTAAATCCCAAACCCACCAGCGCCTCCAATCAGAACACAGTGGACTTGTCAAGGCCCGCATCACCCCAGCCTAATTCACGACATTCCCCCAACTCCCCACAGACAACGCGCTGGTGGCCCTGCCACCTCGCACGTGTGCTGGGACTGCCACCTCGACTCCCAGAAACCTCTGGGGAGGGCAGACCGAGTCCCGCCCGCAGCCACCGGTTGGTTTCCCGGCTGGGGACTACACTTCCCAGCAGGCCTCGTGCACAAATCAAAGTCCACTTCCGGCGCGTTCGGGCTGAACTGCCTGAGGGTCGGAACCTTCAGGGCCGGGTTAGGCAGGGAGAGGGCGGGCCTGGGCGTGGCGTGGCGGGCGTGGCCTGGAAGGGTGCGGGTGTGGCGGGGGGTGTGTCCGTGAGCCGGGGCCTTGGAGGGCGTCTGCGGCCTGGCCAGGAGAGCGCGCCCCTCTCTGGTGACATGCGGGGGGTGGCGAGTGCGGGGCGCGGCGCCCTCTGCACGAAGCCCAGGGCTGGTGGAGACCCTGCGGTGCGGACTCCAGCCGCTCGTGGGCGCCCCTCCCGCGGAAGGCCGCGCTCCAGGAATGGCCTGGCCTCCCAGAGCGGGCGTGGAGCGGTGACCTCAGGGCCTGCGCACAGAGGTGAGCGGCGTGTGTCCAGGCTGAGGGGACAGACATGGATCTATTCTGTGTGTGAAGGGAGGGTGAGGTCCGAGGGTTCCGGAGGCCTTCGTCATGGAGATGATGTCAAACGGGGATCAGTCCTTGAAAGCTCAACTTTGAGCAGTCAAGCAGAACTGAGCGGGGACGTGGACGTCTCCAGGGTCACCTTAGTTTAAACTCGTCTCTTGTCCATGCTTAAAGGCGATGAAACTCCCGGGGAGCGGGGACTGGAGAGGTGGCGCATGGTGGCTCACAACCATCCCTAACTCCAGTTGCAGGGGATATAATATAATCTTTTCTGAACTAAAAGGGCACAAGGCATGCACGTGGTGCACGTGTAAACACGCAAGCAACACACATGCACGTGAAACGAACTTAAAGAGATAACCCCTTCTCGCCATCCTACCCTTTTCCTATCCCAGCACAGGGTAATAAATGCGATCTCGTCTCATCTTTTCAAAATGGTCCCACCCTGCTCCTGTAGGGTGTAGTCTTGTGTGGACTTGGTGTCTAGTCCTTCCTTTTCCCCAGCGCTGCTTTCCAGAGATACCAACTTCCTCCAGGAGATTAGCCGCAAACAGGAAGGTGCCCCTACAGGAACTAAACTTAAAGCCAAGTCTCAGGTGAGTCGCATTTTCTCTCCGCTTCCTGAAATAGTCTTGCTTCTTCACCACTTAATGCTGTTTATTTTCTCTGAAAAGTTTTCAGTTTAGGAGGCCTGCCCAGGGTGCCGTTTCCTCATACTCTGGTGAGTGATGGGTTGCAGGGATAGTTATTACAACTGCTCTTTCTTGGTTGAAGAGGTGATGTACCTACCCTCTTTGTCGTTCAACTCGTCTCAGAAGGACTTTATTTATTTAGACAAGGTCTATCTACATAGTCCAGACTGTCGTAGAACCTGAACTCACAGAGCTCCGCCTGCCTCTCTTTCCTGAGTGCTGATATCAAAGGTGTGTGCTGCCAAACCCTGCTCCAGAAGGGTTCTTACGATCAGAAATGTAGCCATCTTTCTACCTGGTTTCTTTGATGCCCACAGCGTGGGAGAAACATATTATGACTCAGCCCCCACCTAGGGGGCCGAGGCAAGGGCTCAGTGGGTAAGAGCGAGATTTCTCGTAAGTATGAGGACCTGATTTTTGAATCCGCAGTACCTGTGTAAAAAGGCAAGTGTGTTCCGGCAGACCTCATCATTTCCAGGCAGAGCTCTCTGGCCCGTCAGCCTAGCCAAAAAAAGGTGAACTGGTAATTTAGTGAGAAACCCTGTCTCAAAGCAATAAAGGGAACTGTGCAGCAAGCTGGTCATGGCAGGGGCTGGACACTCTTGGGCATGTGCCACACACACACACACACACACACACACACACACACACACACACACAGAGGGAGGGAAGGAGGGAGGAAGGGAAGAAGGAAAGAGACGATGTAGGAGACTAAATGGAAGGAGCTGCTGGTGGTGGCATCTTCTGTTATCTTAGGTACTCAGGATGCTGTAACCCTGCCAGCATTTTGAGCCCAGAAATTTGAGATAAGCCAAGGTATCAGGGCAAGATTTTGACCATTTTTTATTTATTTATTGCCAGTTGAGTGCTCTTTTTCCTTTGAGTCACTGAATTCTAGTCTCCTTGTGGCGACAAGGTAGTCACAAATGCTTGGGGAATAGACATGAGTGAGGTAGGACGCAGCTGTGACTAGACACAACATATTTTTTGTTACATTGGGGCACTTAGAAAATGTGTTTTTGTTTGTTTTTTTTTTTTTTGTTTTTTAAAATTGTTTTAGGGGGAGGAGTTTTGTAATATGAAGATTTTTCCCTTTTTAAATTTCTGTTTAAAAACTATAAAATTGTGGTGGTGTGCACCTTTAGTCCCATCACTCGGGAGGCAGAGGTAGGTAGATTTATGAGTTTGAGGCCAGTCTTGCCTACAGAGTGAGTTCCAGGACAGGCAGGGCTAATCAGAGAAACCATATCTGGAAAAACCAAAACCAAACCGAAATGAAAAATCTCTATAAAACTATTCTATTGTAGTGTCACTTAATGTAAACTGCATTGCTCTAAACACAGTGTGGTTTTTCATATTTAAAAAAAAAAACAGGCATAATTTTTTAAATTCAAAAGTGTCTACATACATATTTAAAAAATATAGGGAGATAATGGTTTATTTAGTTAAGCGTATATAAAAAACATTTGAAAATCTGAAAAATAAAAATGAGTGTGACACTGAACATCCGGAATCTTGAGGTTGGAACTCTTGGGCTCCATAAAAGCCTGTGGGAGACTGTGTGAGAATGTAGTCCTTGTCTTGCTTGCTTTCACTGTTTCCAAAGAGAGTATCTTTTACTTACTCTTTGTTTATCTTGCATATATATCTCGACCATGGGCACCAGAACCCCCCCACCCCCCCCCACCCCCGTCTTTTCCTTTTTCTGTGAATGCGCAGTGAACCAGTGCAGGCTGCCAGGGTGCTGCCTGCTCTTGTTGGTTTGATCTTGTGCAGATGACCACACTGAATGGTCATGAGCCTAACAGCCTTCCCATACCAGAAGGCAGCGTTGTAGGTGGGCTCTTCTGTCCCCATCTGCCAGTTCCCAAATAACCGCACAGAGACTTATTATTAATTACGAGTGCTCGACTGGTAGCTTCGACTGTTACTAGCTATCTCTTACATTTTAGATTAACCCGTATTTGCATTTCTTCCCTACGCTCTGGCACATGGCAGCACCTCTATTAGCCTGCTTCTGGCTTCTCTTCTGCATCTTCTTTCCGGCTTTCCTCCGCCCTGAAAACGCTGCCTAGCTATCGACTTCAACTCTTTGTTAACCACTGACGGTAATACGTGTTCACACTGAAGAAAACGATTGTCCACGGCACAGCATGCCATAGCACTGCTCCTTGTCCTATAGCTTTACATTATTTCCACCCCCACTTTCTGTGATGCCCCCGAGCCTTAGGGGCATGGGACTAATCCAGATGTCCCATTCTGGGCTGAGCACTCGACATTCATTTACTCTCAGTACTTAGACTCATGTCTTTGTATTAACTGCTGCCCACTAAGTCTGTCTTTTTGAAGTACTGTGTTTGCACTGAAAGGTTCAGACATTAGTATACTGGAAGGTTTCTACCGCCGAATCTTACTGAGTTTTGAGAATTAAAGGTATTTAGCTTTTGGTCACCTCAGGAAACCAGTGCTGGTCCTTCCTATTGAGATGAAGACTCCTACCAAAAGGCAGTCAGTCCCTCTCCATGTGGAAGGATGCTGCAGTAGGCAGAAAGTTGAGGGCCGAGCAGCATTCCTTTTAGGCTGGACGGCTCAAACAAACTAACTAACTAACCAACTAACTAACTAACTAACTAACACAGCAGGCTGAGCAAGCCATGAGGAGCAAGCCTCCATGGCCTCTCTCTGCATTAGCTCCTGCCTCCAGGATCCTGGCTCTGTTTGAGTTCCTGTCCTGACTTCCTTCCATGACTACAATGTAGACACTTAAGCCAAATGAACACTTTCCTCCCTAAGGTGCTTTGGTCATGGATTTCATCACAGCAATAGTGACCAAACCTTCCTGTTCTTATCCCACAGCTTGTACTGTGGTAACCCTCCCCTCCCCTCCTCTCCCTCCCCTCCGCTCCCCTCCCCTCCTCTCCCCTCCCCTCCCCTCCCCTCCTCTCCCTTCCCTCCCCTCCTCTCTCCTCCCCCTTTCTCTCCCATCTCTTTCCTTCCTCTTCTGTCATATCCCATTCCAAATTTTATATTGTGAGACATAGTCTCACACAGTCCAGGCTGGCCATGAACTATGTAGTTGGAGACGGCCTTGAATCCCTGATAATCCTGCCTCCATCTCCCTAGTGGTAGATAAACCGCATGCGCTACCATAGCCAATAGGCTGCATCTCTCTCTCTCTGTATGTCTGTGTCTCTCTGTATGTCTGTGTCTCTCTCTGTGTGTGTCTCTCTGTGTGTGTGTGTGAGTGTGTGTGTGTCTCTCTGTGTGTGTCTCTGTGTGTGTGAGTGTATGTGTGTTTATTCCACATTAGCCTCTCAACTTGGAGTCCTTCAGTTTCTGCCTCCCAACTGCTGGAATTACAGGTCTGTACCATGTCTGTGCCTGAAGGCATGATAGTTAATTTTAAGACTTGATAGTAGTTTTCATTTTTACACACTCACTTTCTTTTTTTTCTTTCTTTCTTTCATTTTTTTTTTTTTTAGAAAAAAAATGTAGATCATGTTTTAGTGTTTAATGAACTTTCAATGAAAATGATAGACAATAGCAACCGTTAGGCCACAGCTGGGGGATTGCCTGGATCTTTGAGAATCCTCTCCTGGTTTCTTTCCTGGTCCATCTGCTGTTCCAGGCCACGAATGTGTCACAAGGTTGAGACAGGCTCTAAGAACCTATGGTACTCAGACCAACTTGGCTTTCATTAGGTATTGCTAGAAATTGGTGACAAATATTTTATGTGAGTATATGCCTGTGCTGGCTAGTTTTATGTCAACTTGGCACAAGCTATATCTTCTGAGAGGTGGGAGCCACAATAAATGTCACTATAGGAATGGGCTGTAGGCAGGCAGAGGGCCCAGTTCATTGTGGGTGGGGACAGCCCTGGGCTGGTGGTCCTGTGTTCTATAAGGAAACAAACTGAGCAAGCCATGAGGGACAAGCCAGGAAGCAGCCCCCCTTCCATGGTCTGCATCAGCTTCTGCCGCTGAGTTCCTGCCCTGCCTGACTTCCTTCCATCACTACAATGGAGGTATCTACTTAAGCCAAATAAACCCTTTCCTCCCCGAGGTGCTTTGGTCATGGTGTTTTATCACAGCAGTAGTAACCCTGACTAAGTCAGTCTCCAAGTGCTTTTCTATCCTAAAGGATGAGGGTGAGGACTGGAACACGGGATGGGAGGACACGGTTCATTTAAGAACTCCCCGGTAACCATCGGCGCTGGCTGAGCAACAGTGCATTTTTGTCATTTCAGGGCGTGGTGACATTTGGGGATGTAGCTGTTGTTTTCTCCCAGGAAGAGTGGGAATGGCTCAACTCTGAGCAGAGGAGTCTGTACTGGAAGGTGATGCTGGACAACTACAGGACCCTGGCATCCCTGGGTGAGGGAATCCCCACCCCTGCCCCTGACTCTTCCCGCCCAAGCCTGTGGTCCTGCAGTCTCTCATTCATTCTCCCTGACCCCTGCTGTGCTTCAAGTCAAGGTGGAGCCCAGCATGACCACACCCTGTTTTTCTCTCTCCTTCCTGTTTTTCTTATGGCGCTAGGACTTTGTGCTTCTGAGCCAGATATGATGGCCTTATTGGAAGAAGGGCAAGATCCCTGGGTGACGAAAAGAAAGGTGACAGGCCGGTGCCCAGGTGAGCACGAGGAGGAGGGCAGGTGTGGCTGCTGCTGCTTCCGGCTCATTCCCTCCACCCACAATCTCCTCAGCAGACCCCGTAAGCACGGGCTTTGCGTCTTCATGCCCCTCTCTGCTCTCCAGCATGGCGGCATCCCCGTACAGACAATTTACTTTTCTCTCGTCTTCTGAACGCATCTTTTTTTAAATATATGTTTATGCGTGTGCACATGTCTGTTTAGGTGAACACGTGTGTGTGCGTGTTTATTTGTAGGTCAGAGGTCTTCCTCCATAACTGTCTTTTTAAAAAGTAATCTATATATGTGGGTGTTTCGCCTGTGCATGTGTCCATGCATGCCTGGTGCCTGCAGAGAGGACAGTAGCTCTCCTGGAACTGGAGTTACAGTTGAGAACCACCATTCACGTGCTGGGAATTGAACCTGGGTCCTCTGGAAGAGCAGCCAGTGCTCATAACCACTGAGCCGTCTCTCCAGCCTCATTGACTTTGGCTTTAAAAATTAGTTTGTGTGTGTGGTATTTTGCCTGCATCTTGTGCACCATGTGTGCCTCCCCCCACCCAGCATGCAACATTTAATAAGAGCTGTTTGCTTTGTTAATTTCTTTAAGACGTAAAGGCTTTGCTGGAGACCAAGGAGTTCCCTCCAGAGGACTTTAGTGAGGAACAGCCGTCCCAGGCACTGCTAAGAAAGCAGCCCCTGCACCGTAGACCCACGTGCTCCGTGTTAGGTGGCGGTGGCGCTGTGTTCCAAACACCGAGGGTGAGTGGGGTTACCTCAGGCAGCCAGCCCTGTAGGAACCCTTGGACAGTGGAAATTTCCATCGGCATACACTATTTCTTGGGGACAGATTGTGACCCAGTGGGAAAGAATTGTATCATCTTGAAACACACAGTAAAAGTGTGTGTGTGTGTGTGTGTGTGTGACGATGTGGGTGCAATCACAAACAAGCTCCTCAGGTGACTGAAGTTTGATTTAGAGAAGAATCTCAGTAGTCCCTCCTGTCCCCCTCGGCTGGGAGAACCCTCCCTGAGAAGATGAGAACATCCACCCTCCTCATAAGGTGCTAATGACCAAATGTCTCAGTTAGGTTCCTAGTGCTGAGATAAAACACCATGATCAAAAGGAGCTTGGGGGGGGGGGGCTATGTCATATAACAGCTTTTAGTCCATCATCGGGGACGTCAGGGCAGACACTCGAGCAGGGCAGGGAACCCGGAGGCAGGAACTGATGCCGAGGACGTGGAGGGTGCTGCTTACTGGCTTGCTGCCCATGGCTTGTTCAGCCTGTCTTTTTGAATCTTTGACCGGGTCCAGAGTTGGCACCACTCACAATGGGCGGGCTTTGCCACAGCGAACACTAATTAAGAAAATACCCTGTAGGATTGCCCGTAGGCCAGTCTGGTGGGAATATTTCCTTAATTGAAGTTCTCTCTTCTGTGTAAACTTGACATAAAATTAGCCAGCACCAAAGTACAGTTTCACCAAAATTCATTCCAGAGAACTAGTGTGTCCCGGAGTTACTTCCAGAGTATGGGTCAGGAGATGCTGGGAGGAGGCGTGTGGGTGACCCCAAAGTGGCCACACTAGAAACTCTTCACCCGTCCTGAGCAGTGGCTTCTCCAGAGCAGACAGATGGGCTCTCCTCTCATCCAGCCTCCCCGGCCTGTGTGCTAGGGCAGAACTGCAATCAGGTGCTGCGAGCCGTGGCTGGAACCGCAGTGAGGGTCCCGTGACTCTCATCCTCTGAGAGAGTGTCATCACCCCACAGCATGCTCTTGATGGTCTCTTGCAGGGAGGCATGGTTGATGAAGGTGGCAGCTGTTTTTCTCAGGGGACCTTGCTCTACAACACCTTTTGTCAGTCTCTCTCTCTCTCTCTCTCTCTCTCTCTCTCTCTCTCTCTCTCTCTCTCTCACACACACACACACACACACACACACACCACACGAAGGCGATTCACTGTCTAACCTCTATAGCTCAGCACTGAGGTGACACATATGGTCCAGAGTGTGCTGTTTACAGCGTGTGGACACGTTTCACCCTACTCTGGCCCCCCAGGTTCATGAATGTGTTTGTGCCTTTCCAGGGCTTGAAGATCATCACAGAAACAGCTAGGGACAGCTCTGCACAGCTTGCGTCAGCCCCGCAGCGTCTCTGTGCGAGTGTGGCGTGGGAGAACTGTAGTGGCCTGCTGTCCGTAGGTGAGAATCTGTCTTCAGGAGAACTTGCTTTTCGTGGTTTTTGTTTGTTGTTTTTCAAGTCAGGATTTCTCTGTGTAACAATCCTGTCTGTCCTAGAACTTGCTTTGTACTGGCTAGCCTTCGGACTCACAGGCCTGCCTCTGCCTTCTGAGTGCTGGGATTAAAGGCCTGTGTCGCTACTGCCCTGCTCTCTGTTTGTTTAATGTTTATTTTAAAGTGTGTGTGTGTGTGTGTGTGTGTGTGTGTGTGTGTGTGTGTGAGAGAGAGAGAGAGAGAGAGAAGCTGCCTATGGAGGTCAGAAGGGACCATTAGATCCCCTGGAGCTGGAGTTAGAGGTGATTGTGTAGTGTCTGATATGAGTGCTAGGAACCAAACTCCTCTGCAAGAGATGTCCCGTCCTTGATAGATCACACACGTACACACACACGCACACGTACACACACACGCACACGTACACACGTGCGCATGCAAGCATGCCCAGATTTTCTAGCTCTTCCTGTGGTGCTGTGGGATGATCCTTCTGTATGCTATGAATATGTATTACTCATTGATTAATAATAAAACTGATTAGCCCATAGCAAGGCAGGATAAAGGTGAGGACTGGGAGGAAGAAGGGGAGAGGGGGGTAGACGCCAGTGAGCCCCTCAAGAAGCAAGAGTTAGAGGACAGGTAAAACCATGAGCCCCATGGCAATACATAGGTTAATAGAAATGGGTTAATTTAAATGTAAGGGCTAGTTAGTAATAAGCCTGAGCTATTGACTGAGCATTCTGTAATTAATACAAGCTTCTGTGTGTTTGTTTCGGACTGGGCAGTCGGGACAGGAAACCTCTGCCTCCATTTACACTGCAGTAATAATTTTTTCTGTCAGAGTCAGGAAATAGCTTACTCAGTTTCAGAGAGACAAAAGTATAAGCAAGCACTTTCAGGACACTGTTTCTAAAGCAGAGTTGTTTTTTTTTTTCTCGTTACTGGGGCAAGGGAAGAAGCCCTCTGTGGTGCAGAGAGAGCTGGCACCAGCTTGTCCTCAGGTGGGTGTGGAGATGGTGACGGCACTGTAGCTTTGATCAGGATGCAAATCTCACCACCACACACTGGAAACTGCCAAGTCTCGCAAGTCTGGAGAGAAAAATCACACTCGTAGATTTCCTTTGCACCTTCTTTTAGTGACTCATTTCCCTGTAGTTTACTTTATATTCTTACCCACTTGGGTGCTTGTCAGCCTCTCAGTTTCTTGGGTGTCTTTAAAGGTTAAACGGCCCATTTGTTCCATTTTGCATAGCAGCTGGACATCAGGAGATTACTGGAGAAAGGGAAAGTTTGTGTGTGTGTGTTGTGTGTGTGTGGGCGCGCGTGCAAATGCATGTGAATCATTGAAGAATCCCTCTAATCCATCTCTAATGGAGAAGATAGGACCAAGACCTGATGTGGATAACTTGTATGAAGTAAAACTTGAAATTCTTGACTCAGGTATTGCAGAGAAACAAAAATGTTATTTATTCCTAGTGGTTCCTTTGTGCCCACAGGACAGGGTAGGCAGAGGCCATAGTGCAAGGAGATAATGTTTTCTTCATCTATTTCAGGCCAGCGTTCTGTACATGGGGCCCAGGATTTGTTTCCAAAGCAAGACTCAAATTCTGAAAGGTTAACAGGCAGAGCTTCGAGCACCAAACTTGAGTGCTCTACCTTCAGGGAAGATTGGGATTCTGAGAGTGTGTTTGAAAGAGATGGTCAAGATGCACCGTTCGAGCAAGAGACAGTTGCTCAGAACAAAGCGTTCTCAGAGAGGAGAGAGTGTGTGTATATCAAACCTGGAAGATGGTTTCATTTGAACAATTCAGAAGAGAGAAGTCACAATTGTGACTCAGGTAAAAGTTTCTCCCCAGATCCAGTGGTCGTAAAAGAAACAGGAATCTATGCAGGAAAAAAACTTTTCAAGTGTGATGAATGTAAGAAAACTTTCACCCAGAGCTCCTCCCTCACGGTTCACCAGAGAATTCATACCGGAGAGAAACCCTATAAATGTGATGAGTGTGGGAAGGCCTTCAGTGATGGCTCCTCTTTCTCACGACACCAGAGGTGCCACACCGGCAAGAAGCCGTATGAGTGCATCGAGTGTGGGAAAGCTTTCATACAGAACACCTCCCTTGTTCGTCACTGGAGATACTATCACACCGGGGAGAAACCCTTCGATTGCATCGATTGCGGGAAAGCCTTCAGTGACCACATAGGGCTTAATCAGCACAGGAGAATTCACACTGGAGAGAAACCTTACAAATGTGACGTGTGTCACAAATGCTTTAGGTACGGCTCATCCCTCACTGTGCACCAAAGGATTCATACTGGAGAAAAACCGTATGAGTGTGATATTTGCAGAAAAGCCTTCAGCCACCATGCCTCACTCACTCAGCATCAAAGAGTACATTCTGGAGAAAAGCCCTTTAAATGTAAAGAATGCGGGAAAGCTTTTAGGCAGAATATTCACCTTGCTAGCCATCTGAGGATCCACACCGGGGAGAAGCCTTTTGAGTGTGGGGAGTGTGGGAAATCCTTCAGCATCAGCTCACAGCTTGCCACTCACCAGAGAATTCACACAGGAGAGAAGCCTTATGAATGTAAGGTGTGTAATAAAGCGTTTACGCAGAAGGCTCATCTTGCACAGCATCAGAAAACTCATACAGGAGAGAAACCGTATGAGTGTAAGGAATGTGGCAAGGCCTTCAGCCAGACCACTCACCTCATCCAGCATCAGAGGGTTCATACTGGAGAGAAGCCTTATAAATGTCTGGAGTGTGGGAAAGCCTTTGGTGATAACTCATCCTGTACTCAACATCAGAGACTGCACACGGGCCAAAGGCCTTATGAGTGCGTGGAATGTGGGAAGGCATTCAAGACCAAGTCATCGCTTATTTGCCATCGACGATGTCACACTGGAGAGAAACCTTACGAGTGTAGTGCATGTGGCAAAGCCTTTAGCCACCGTCAGTCCCTTAGTGTCCATCAGAGAATTCATTCCGGGAAGAAACCGTATGAATGTAAGGAATGTAGGAAAACCTTCATCCAAATTGGACACCTTAACCAACATAAGAGAGTCCATACTGGAGAGAGAACGCATAACTGCAAGAAGGGCAGAAAGGCCTTCAGGCAGGCTGCACACTTGGGTCACCATCAGCGGATCCATTCTGGAGAGTCACCCGCTCACCCTTTGCCTGCCACAGCCAGTCCTGTGGATCTCTTCCCCAAATTCGTCTGGAACCCACCCTCACTTTCATCATCATAACCTCAAACACGCTGCCATTTCCACTACAGTATTTTTACCAACCCACCTCTCTGTCCCTCTGTCCACTTTTGTCCCTTACAAGTTTGTTCTTCATGTTGCAGTCAGGTTGGGTTATTTTTGGAGTGAAAAATGTCATTAGTTTGCTCATTGAAAACTTATACTCACCGGTTAATGCCTGCGATGTGCTTAGCACAGTGCCTGATCCATACCAAGTACTCAGCAAACTTGGCTCTTATTTAAAAAGTTTATTTTTGAAAATGGAAATTTTATTGTAGTCAGCCCTGATAAAAATGATGCAATAGAATGAGGCTAGGAGGAACCAGATTTCAGAACAGGAAGGGAGTTCTCTTGAGTTGTTGCTGAGACTTGCTTCTTTTCCTTGAAAACTTGGTTCTAAGCCAGGGGTATGGTGCGCTCACCCGTAATCCTAGTATTCATGAATTCAAGGCCGGCTGGGGCAACTTAATGAGACCCTATCTCTAAATAAAAACAAAACAGTTGCTCCAGTACTGGCGAACTGCATTGTGGCTTTGAATTTGAATCAATTAAGGTAGTAATAGAACTTTTGGTGAGGAAACTCTACCATACACTTGACAGTAAAAGGGTAGACAGTGCGTGTAGGCCACCCTAAACAAATGAACCAAAACAATTGGGAAAATGCAAGGTTTCATATGCTCGTAGTTAAAAGCACAAACTTGCATAAGAACGGGAGAACTCTGAAGGCTCTGATCTATGCAAAGTTGCCATTTGAGAATGTATTCTCGGTAAACAGCAAGGAAGTATTAACTGTGGGGCAAACTGATACGGGGCAGCAAGCTGGCTCACAGTCATAATCTAAATTCTAAAAACGTGTTGAGTGGTTTTAAGCATTAGTGGAATCTTTTCAACCTGGTGATTATGTGAGACCTACGTTTTCGTGTCTGTAGGTGACATATTGGCAACACAGCCACACGTTCACTTAGGTATTTCGTGGTGCTTTCATCTACAGAGGGTTCAGAGAGCCAAAATAGAGTTTTATTGAGCCACAGCCAGGGTCACTGGTTTACCAACGATCTTTGGCTGTCTTCCCCCACCCCCACCCCTACCTCAGTGGCAGAGTTATTAGCTGCCTGCCCTGGAGACTGTATGGCCACAGTAAGTCACAGTATTTACAGCTGAAGAGTAGAGAATGTACAAAAGTTTCTAACATCATGGCAATAATAAACCCTGACCAAAGAACCAAAAACAAACCCAAGAATATTGGACTCAGCAGGTGGTAAAGGTACTTGTTGCCAATGCCGATGACCTGAGTTTGATCCTTGGAACTCGTGGTAGAAGGAGAGAACTTGCTCATGAGAGTTGTCCCCCTGACTGTCACACCGCCACACTAGTGCCATCTCCTGTACACTCCAAACACGAACAGTGGATAGCTGAAGATAACAGCATATACAGCAATTTATGAAGAGATGAAATTATTAAATGATATAAAACTGAATAAAAGAAATATATTTACAGGAAATGTTATTAAAATGTTTATGAATTATCTTTCCAAAACAAGTCCCATGAGGATATGTTGACAACTTCAAGGGACAATTAGGCAAGAATATAAAGGATTTTTTTAAAAAAAATTGTTTATTATTAGACAGGCAGTGATGGCTCACACCTTTAGTCTCAGTACTCCGGAGGCAGAGGCAGGAGGATCTCTGTGAGTTCAAGACCAGGCTGTCTTCGAATTCACAGACATCTGTCTGCCTCTGTGCCTCCCAAGTACTGGGGTTAAGGGCAAGTACCACCACACTTGGCTTTTTTATTTGTGTGTATGTGTGTGCCACATGTGTTCGTGTACCCAGAGGCCAGAAGAGAGCTCTGGATCATCAAGTGAGCAACTCAAAACAGGAATTTTAAAAATTCAAATATACTAACCCAGTCCAAAGACACACTAATTTGATGCATGCTGAGGAACAACCAGAGGGAAATATTGAAAGGCTTACTTTATATTGTTACTTTATGAACAGATTTCTTGGTTGCAAATCTCAGTCGAGGTGCTTCAGACAGCCTTTGTTGGCACTGCATGTTAAGAAAACATCCTAGAGCAAAGTACACAAGTGCTCAGTGCTCAGGCTTCAGTGGGGCCGTATAATGCAGCATGAGAGATTGCTGCCAAAAAGGGCCTCATGTTTGGTGCATGTTGGATTCTGAGCATTTGGTTGTTGTGCATTCAGGAGCCTTTTGTTGTTTGCAGCCTTTTCACGTGTGTAATTCAGTTATGCAGTTCAAGAGTCTGGGATCCAGGGCTGGAGAGATGGCTCAGCTGTTAAAGTCTAGGCTCACAACCAAAAACAACCAAAACATAAGGATCTGGAATCCAGAGTTCACTGAGGCTTATGGTATGGACTGCTGGGAAGAACCCATGGCTGTGTCTGTACCTTTAGGGTCTGGAGGAATCAGTTGTCATCGTTGCACACTCAAGGCATGCCACAAGTATTCAAGGTGGCTGTGTTGATGTAAAAGTGGTCTATTTGGCTGTTTTGGATGACAGTCCTATTGCTTAAAGTAGCCAGGCAGCAAGAGAGAGAGTCAAATAAATACCGTTTAGAGGCTCAAATGGCCTCATCCAGCATCTCTGCCTGTTAAGAAAAGGAGCAATACCAGGAGTGCTTTTAAGGATTTAAACAATTTTGCATTGATAGTAGTAGTGACTTTTTTTGAGACAGGGCCTCTTTACATTGCCCTGGCTGTCCTGGAATTCACTCTAGACCAGGCTGGCCTTAGACTCGCAGAGATCTGCCTGGGATAAAGGCGTGTGCCACTACCTTGCCTTCACTGTTCTGCCTTTATGCCAGAAGAGGGCATCAGATCTCACTACAGATGGTGTAGTTGCTGGGAATTGAATTCAGGACCTCTGGAAGAGCAGCCAGTGAGGGAGCTCAACCACTGAGCCATCTCTCCAGCCCCAGCTAGTGACTTTTTAAGAGTATGCTTTCATTATGCTGAACACATATATGTGGGGTGTAGGGACATATAGATCTGTCTCAGTTATTTGTGCCACTGATGGTATGTGTCACTCTTTTTTTGCCACTGAATATTAAGCCCTGAACAGGGTGCAGACGTGTAGTCCTGGAATATTCAGCCTTGTAGGGGAAGGTAAATCTGGGAATGAAGGTGAGTTATGTCAGGGAGCAACATCTAAAGCGTGAATAGGTTGCACAGACTCAGACATCTCAAGTACACGTCACAAAACCAAGTATTTTTCTCCTGTCTTCTAGTCTGTGTCCTCGATGCCTTCTAAATCTCATTCATTGTGTGTCCACAGCTATCTTCTACTGTAGAAGCCACAGTGGCCTCCTTGGCTTTAAGCCTGACCAGCCATCCTGGCCCCGTCCACTCCACATCTTCCCAAATTGGTAGTCTCGCTCGAGCGGGTGCTGTGTAGCCCGCCTGTACTTCTGGACCTGGATACAATGCTGAGAGGCGTCTGATGACTCTAGTCTGAATCGGGGCGGGGGGGACACCATTAGGGAGCAGAAAGCAGGGACCCATTGGTCTGCAGAGGCTCACCGTCAGCCTCCTGGACCATCCCGTCCTACGCTGGCTGGGCGAGGACTACATATCCCAGGTGCCATTGCGGAGAAACCGGAAGTCAGTGACGCTTTAACCCTGAGAACTCGGGTTCTCCGGTGGAATTCTTGGTGAGCCTGGCGTGAGTGCTAGACCTGACCTGGGAAGGCTGCCGGGGTGTTGTCCAGGTCGGTGGGAGGGTGGCCTGACATCCGTGGGCCCGGCACAAGCGCAGCGTGTGAGCGTGGGAAGGTGGGACTGCCGGAAGGAGACTCCGGGGAAATGTGAAACGGGTGCGAGGTGGGCGGGGCACGCGTTTGCTCGCTGGTCCCAGCGGTGTGTGTGAGTGTGTGTGAGTGTGTGTGAGTGTCTGTGTCTCTGTGCGTGTGTGTGTCTGTGTGTGTGTGAGAGTGTGTGTGAGTGTGTGAGTGTGTGTGAGTGTCTGTGTCTCTGTGTGTGTGTGTCTGTGTGTGTGTGTGAATGTGTCTGTGTGAGTGTCTGTGTCTCTGTGTTTGTGTGTCTGTGTGTGTGTGAGTGCGTGTGAGTGTCTGTGTCTCTGTGTGTGTGTCTGTGTGTGTGAGTGAGTGTGTGTGAGTGTGTGTGTCTCTGTGTGTGTGTGTCTGTGTGTGTGAGTGAGTGTGTGTGTCTGTGTCTCTGTGCGTGTGTGTGTCTGTGTGTGTGAGTGAGTGTGTGTGAGTGTGTGAGTGTGTGTGTCTCTCTGTGTGTGTGTCTGTGTGTGTGTGAGAGTGTGTGAGTGTGTGTGTGTCTCTGTGTGTGTGTGTCTGTGTGTGTGTGAGAGTGTGTGAGTGTCTGTGTCTCTGTGTTTGTGTCTGTGTGTGTGTGTCTGTGTGTGTGAGTGAGTGTGTGTGAGTGTGTGTGAGTGTCTGTGTCTCTGTGTGTGTGTCTGTGTGTGTGAGAGTGTGTGTGAGTGTGTGTGTCTGTGTGTGTGAGTGTCTGTGTCTCTGTGTGTGTGTCTGTGTGTGTGAGTGAGTGTGTGTGAGTGTCTGTGTCTCTGTGTGTGTGTGTGTCTGTGTGTGTGTGAGTGTGTCTGTGTCTCTGTGTTTGTGTCTGTGTGTGTGAGTGAGTGTGTGTGAGTGCCTGTGTCTCTGTGTGTGTCTCTGTGTGTGTGAGAGTGTGTGAGAGTGTGTGTGAGTGTGTGAGTGTGTGTGTGTGTGTGCGCGCGCGCGTGTGGCGGCTGTGTGTCCTGCGATGAGTGGGACACTTGTGGTTAAGGGGATGCCTTCTCACCATCAAATACGTGGTCTCAGGTGACAGACACAGTGTCCAGCAGTGCAAGCATTTCTTGCTTGACTTTTCTGGAGGAGACAGAAGAACTCAGGACTCTTCTTGAAACAAGACGCCACTTAGGTAAGAATGAAAAATGGTTTTGGTGTGGCAAAAAAGTGAGAGTTGAGATTTGAGGGTGATGTGGTTGCCGGTGGTCTGTAGTGCTGGTAAATTCCAGTCTAAAGATTTGGAGGGCCACTTTGGTTTATAGTGTGGTGCTGAATTCAGGAGTGCCAGACTCACTTAACCCAGACTTTGCCATCTAGGTCTTCGTGTTTCCCAGCGGGGTGAATACCAGCTGCGTGCTCTACCTGCTGTTCAAAGACATCAGCACTTAGATTTTCACCTGCCAGAGTGAGATTTGGGTTGGGGAGAAAAAGTACACAGCTCTACTGCCAAGGGGCTATCACTCTGCAGGAGTATATCCCTTTCCCAAATCTCTCTGTCATCCAGATCTTTGCATTTTTGAACCAGACGTGGTCCTGTTACTGTAGCAAGAGAAGGCGCCATGGGTGATATAAAAGGAGAGGTGTCCAAAGGTCCTTGCCCAGGTGAGTGCACAATAATTAGAGCGGGAAGAAGTTAACACTCAAGAGTTTCTTCTGTTTGCTATTTGTGGGGAAATTCCTCTCAGACTGTCCCGGATTGATGTCGGCCGTCGTAGAAGTTTCTTCTCCACTG